GTTGGGCCCAGGACTCACCACTAACCACTCTCTCCCGGAAAGTTAGGAGGGGCTGTGGCTGCAGGAGCACCACCTGAGCCCCACCCGGTGGCAGGGACACGCAGGTCTGAGACCTTCCCCGTATGTGCACTTGCCCATCTTGTGCTCTTACAGGAGCAAGCCCTGTGCACGGGGAGCCTGAGGGAGCGGGAATGGTCCCTGCCATTGGTGAACCTGCCCAGCAACCATTGCACTGCGTCTGCTCACCGTCAAGTGGACCAGTTTAAAAACATTATGCTAAGTCCAAGGAGCCAGACACGAAAGACCACACAGTGTATGAGCCCAGCTCTGAGGACAGGCATATCTGGTTGCTCAGGGCTGGGGGAGGGGGTGATGAGAATAGCTATGGGTTTCCTCTGGGGGAGATGTAGATAGATGTTTTGGAACTGGATAGTGGTGGTGGTTGCACAACCTTGCAAATGTACTGAATGCCCATTTTAAAATGGTGAATTTTATGTTCTACGGATTTTGCCACCCAAGTTTTCCCAGGGGATTCTGTGAACCGGCAAGATGGAAGCCCTGGGCTTGGACACCTGAGAGGCTCCTGGGGGTCAGGACCCGGGTGATGACTCCTCTCCAGCCGCTAAAACCCCCATGGAGTGTCCTCAGGATGCAGTGAGCAAGAGGAAGGTCAGAATCTCGATGTTGAAGACACTGCCTTATCCTTCTAGGTACCCTCTTTCACCCAGAGCAGGACTTGGGTCATAGCTCTGGCACCAGCCCCTCTTTATAGGGACGGGACAGCAGGACTTGGCCGTGTCTCCCTGGAGTCTCCAGACTGGGCTCTGCAGAAGAGGCCCCTACTGTTGAGTCCCTGGTGTGGGGAACTCAGAGTGCTGGTGTGTCCATTTCCAGTCGCTCCTGAGACAGATCACCACAAATTTGTGACATAAAACGACACATGGATTCTCCTATAGTTCTAGAGTTGGGAAGTCTGAAAATCCTCCTTGGGCTCCAAAGGAGACCCGCTTTCCTGCCTTTTCCAGCTTCTGGAGGCTTCCCAAATGCCTTGGCTTTCTTTATTATCATTCCAACCTCTGCTTTTGTCATCACTTCACCTCCTCTCTGACCTCTGACCTCTCCTACATTCCTGTTTTAAGGACCACTTGGATCATCCAGGACACTCGCCCATCTGAGGGTCCTTAACTTGCTCTCATCTACCGAGTCCCATTTGCCATGCCATTCAGCCGAGGACATCTTCGGGGGCAGTTGTTCAGCTGACCAGGCTGGGTTTCCCTGTCCCTTAGCTGTCACATGTCTCTCACAGGAGGACTTGTGTCCCTTCTGGTTAACAGCTACAAATCAAGCTGCCTTTAAAAGTCCACGGTTCCTGTCATGAAGACCTTGAAGCTTTACCCCTTCAGCGTCTGGTTTACTCCAACAGCATTTTACTAAGCTGCCTTCAGTGGGCCAGGCCGGGCAGAAAGCTGCAGGGAAAAGAAGGGACTGCATGCTCAGGGACAGGGCCCCTACTGTTCCCCAGCACGTTAGCATGTCCCGGGAGCTTCACAGAAACTTGAAGCCCACCTGCCCAGCCAGCTTCATCTGCAGCCCTGAGGGTGGGTCCGGCATTAGCAGCTAATGAGGTCCCTGGTTATTGGTGTGTGGCCAGGGGTCAGAACGCTGCTCTCGAAGCTCAGAGTTGGGCAGAGGGGAAACGTGTGTCAGAAATGGAATGTGATGTGCCCTTGTTCAACAACAGCTAGTAGGCACGCCTCCTTCGGGGTCATGAGCGTTCTCATGGAACCCCCTCATGCACTGCTTTGCAGGGTAGCAGCGTTACCACCCCATTTCACAGGTGACCAGCGAGGCCCTGGTCACAGTCAGTGAGTGACGAGGTCACCCTTCAGTCTCAGGTGCTCTGGCTCCTGAGACCTGTCTCCAGAACTTCCTATCACACTCCTTGGCAAACAAGCTGAGGACACTTTCTCCTGGAACTTTCTAACCCGTCTCTGACCATTGTACTCTGAGGAGTAGGAAAGGAGGGACGGAGGGAACGACCCTTGATGACAGTTGCTCCCCTGGTAGGGTGACACCGGGAGAAGGAAGATGGCTCCTGAGTGTGGGCAGGCGCTGGGCTACGCACCACCTGCCTCATGCTAAGGTCACCCGAGTGCCACCTCCCTGCCTCCCTGTGCACGGGAGCACCTGCCGCCCACACAGATGGGCCCCACAGGGCGCTTCTCTGCTGCTGCGGAAAGGTCAGCCCTGGGATGCTGACAGAGAGAGCATATCAAAGCCCCTCAGATTTAAGAGGTTTTCCCATTGAGTGGAATTTCACAGCCCACTGGCCAATTTCTAAGTCATGCACATTAATGGGCAGCTAATGAGGGACCCAGGCAGGCGCAGGAGCTGAGATTAAGGAGTACAAAGCCAGGCCGCTGCTCTCTCCCTGCTTTGGGGGCAGCTCTGGGAGAGAAAGTAGAAGGTGGGGCTACATTGGAAGGCCTGGGAGAGCCTATACCAGCCTTGCTGCTGCAGGCCTCGACCTGCTGCCACAGCCTCCCTCCCCGCCATGCCTCACGCCCGCCTCAGACCCTGGTGCAGTAAGAAAGTCATTTCCCAGTTGCCTTGACCTGGGTCTCCACCTAGTGAACCTCAACCTCAGAACACCTTGGCCTTCCTGGGAGCATTGGCTCATTCCCTGGGCTGAGCCTTCAAACAGGCACTGGCCACTCCCTTCTACCCGCCCCCCCAATGTCTTCCTCTTGGCACCTCCTCTAAGAGGCCCCTCACGATTTCCCTCCCTCCTGGAGTCTTGTGGTCCACTTCGCCTCCTCTGAATCCCTAGGGCCTGGCATGCATAGGTGCTCAATCAATCAATCAGTCAATCGTGTTTGTCACTTTACTGAATGACTGAGTGGTTGCAAGCATAATCAGACCCCAGATCTTTGGGGTATGTCTGGTGTGCTGAATGGTGACCCCTAAAAAGTTACGTTCATGCCTCAGAGCCTGTGAATGTGATCTTATTTATTTATTTTAAATATATTTGTATTGATTTCAGAGAAGAAGGGAGAGAGAGAGAAATATCAATGATGAGAATCATTGATCAGCTGCCTCCTGCACGCCCCCTCTTGGGGATCGAGCTCACAATCCAGGCATGTGCTCTTAAGCAGAATCTAACCCAGGACCCTTCAGTCTGCAGGCTAACACTCCGTCCACTGAGCCAAACCGGCTAGGGCTGAATGTGACCTTATTTAGAAAAAGGGTCTTTGCAGGTGTAGCTAAGGGTGTCGAGATGAGATCATCCTGGATATCTGAGGGAACCCAAATCCAATCACCACTGTCCTGTATCCTTTCCTTTTCCTGTAAGAAAGGAAAGAGTACAGTCACAGGAGGAAGGCCATTTAAAGAGAGAGGCAGAGGTTTGAGTGATGTGTCCCCGAACTAAGAAACCTGTGGAGGAGACAGGAAGGTCCCTCCCCTAGAGCCTTTGGAGGGAGCGTGTCCCTGCTAACACCTGGACCTCAGACTTCTCACCTCCAGAACAGTGAGAATAATTTGTGACAGCCGGCTCAGGAGATGAACATGTCTGGGAAAGTATGTGATGTTCCTTTTAGTCTTTTCTGGAGTCTGTGTACTCACCCAGCCATCTATTCACTCACTCTTTCAGCCCTTCCTGTCCAGGGCACTGTCAGGGTCAGGGCATGGTGTGGAGACAGGATGGCACTGCAGGCTGGGATGATACCCACTCAGGGCTAAAACCCTGTCCTGTCACTTGCCAGTGATGATCTTTTCTTTCATTGATTTTTTGCTTTTGTTTTAGAGAAAGGAAGAGAGAGAAAAATGTCCATCAGTTGTCTCCCATATGCACTCTGACCAGGGATCAAACCCACAACCTTTTGGTGTACAGACGATGCTTCACCCAATGAGCCACCTGGCCAAGGTGCCAGTGATGACCTTTTGAGCCACTGGCTTCCCCTGCCTGAGCCCAGTTCCTGCCCTGTGAGCTGAGGCAGCACCCCCTTGCCAGAGACATGGCCCAGCTCTGAGCTCCTCAGCCAATATCTACTCCCTTCTCACTGGTGCATGCTGGGAGGCTGTCCACACTGCAGGTCAAGCTCCATCTGTTGTGCGGAGCCTGAAAAGGTATGAAGAGAGTGGGCCTCAAGGAAGTGACACAGTTAGAAACTTCATGGAGAAAAATTGTGGGGCGGATCTGGTGTCCCACAGATAAGGGCTGATTAGGTGAGGCCCTGGGCATTGAAGATGTTTTTAACATGAGGCAGCGGTTCTCAAAGTGGGGTCCCCAGCCCCGCAGCATCAACACCATCTGGGAGCTGGTTAGAAAAGGCTGATTCTCAGACCCACTGAATCAGAAACGCTAGGGCTGGGGCCCCAGAATCAGTGTTTTAACACACCCTCGCACAGGGTTTTGAACCTTGGGTACCAGGGATAAGCAGTCACATCTGAATTCAAGATCTGACTTCCCTAGGCCTGCATTTCCTGGAACAGGGCCATTTTTTATACTCAGCCATCAGTTGACAATGTGTGGGGTCAGAGTGGTGGTCTCTACTCAGAGGGTGGCCCCGGGACCAGCAGCACCTGCCTCCCGGAGCTTGTGAGAAACGTGATTCTCTATTCCTCTCAAGATGGGAAGAACAGGAATCTGCGTTTTAACAAGACCCCCAGGTGATTCTGTGCACAGTCAGTGGAGAGCTTCTCCACGGAGTACCTGCTGCCTGCCGGGCCTCTGCCTGCCTCCGCCTACAGCTCCCTGCACCCCTGGGAGAGGACACACAGACCTGTGCAGACGGGCTTGGGGACATCACTGCTAACAGGTGACGATGCTGCGCTCCAAGCTCTTTCCTCCCCCCTCATACTGGGGGTCTCCGGCATGGAGGGAGGAGCCATTGGAGAAACTGACCCGGTCCCTGCATGAGATCAGGTGTGCCCCTTGATCTCTCCCAGCTGAGCTCCCTCTCTCACTCGCAGGCAGTCGGAAAGCCCCGCCTTCAGGGAGGAGGGGAGGGAGCCTTCAGACTTCCTCAGAAGTCTCAGAAGCTGCAAGTTCTTGGGACAGATGGCCCTGACTTCAAGTCCCTGTTCCCCTAGGTTTTGGGACATGACCCAAACACATGCTCTTTAGGGCTCCCTTAGTTCACGACTCACTCATGACCCACCTCTGCAGAGCTGGAATCTTCCTTCTTCCGCCCCTCTGGGCCCAAGAAATGCAGCGGAACCGTCCGGAGTGAGCCTGAGTCACCGTCCATCAGTCCATCCTGTCTCTCACCTTGCAGTTTGCACTTGGTGGTAAGGATTAGGGTTGTCAGATAGGTGGGGGGATGGGGGAGGGAGCCGAGGGCTGGAAGGAGTTAAAGATTTAGAAGAGGAAGGGGAGGGAGGGAGGGTCCTTCAGTTTAGTTTGAGAGCAGGAGTGAGGGTAAGCTGGTAGAAAGCTAGAGGGCTACATTTCTGGAGGTGGAAAGCAGCCGGGAAGAGAAGTGATGGGCCAATGAGTGAGCTAGGAGAAGGGGCAGCAGAGGTGCAGGAAGAGGGAGATGTGGTGGCTGGGACAACGGGAGAGACCTTTCCCAGGCAGAGAAGGATACTGGCTATGAATGGGAAGGTGTGAAGACTGCCTGTTCTCCCCACCCCTCTGCTGCTCCTAGCCATGGAGGGACAGACTCCCGGAAGCAGAGGCCTCTTGGAAAAGCCCGTGACCGCCAGCCGCGGTCTGTCCTCCCTGAGCGCTGTCTTCATCCTCCTGAAATCTGCGCTGGGGGCCGGCCTGCTCAACTTCCCCTGGGCCTTCCTCAAGGCCGGTGGGGTGGCCCCCGCCTTCCTGGTGGAGCTGGTAAGCCCCTGGGAAGCGATGTGGGGGGGGGGGGGGGGCTTCCCAGGCAAGATCCAGGGGGCATCCTCAGTAGCAGAGCTGCCTGTCTTAGAAACTATGTACATCTGAGGGGTTTGATTTTCTGCCCGCTGAGCTCAACATCCTGTACCTGGGCACACAACATCCTCTACCTGCCCAGTCTGCTTCCAGGCACAACACCTGGACCCAATGAACCTGACATCTCTGCTGAGAAAGCACTGAGAACACTCGGTCTCTGAGCCATGGCCTGGCCAGTTGACCTCTGGTCTCAGGTCCACATTCAGATCAGGTCAGGACCAGGACTGGCTGGGTCACACCCGCCCGAGCTGGGCCAGGCCCTCTGCTGTCTCAGAGGCCGGCAGCCACTCCAGGGCCTGCCTTCCAGCTGAGCTCCCTTTCCTCATGGCAGAGAAGAACCACTGATTAGCGCAGCTTCTTTTTGTTTGCAATGATTCTTTTCCTGGCTGCCCGGAGCCCGCGTTTTGTGGTAAACTCTGTGACAGGCGTCCCAAATGCTTTTCCATGGCAGCCATGGTCCTGTTAATGGTCCTGTTCTGTGTGGAGGCCACGGGGCTGGATACAAGATACTTGAAATATCAAGATATTTCAGATGGTGGGTAGTGTTAGGAGGGTCACATGACGCAGAGTGGGGCATCATGACAGCTGGTCAGAGGACTCTGAGGGGTGACATTGCACCGTGCCCCAGTGAAATGGAAGGATGTGTCCAGGTGCATGAGAGGTGCAACCTAACTGTGTTTGGGTGGGTGCGACAGAAAGGCTGGCCTTTCGGTTCTGCCCAGTGTGCTCAGTGCTCACTGAGGGTCAAGGGTTCGATTCTCAGTCAAGGGCAGGTGCCTGGGTTGCAGGTTCTATCCCCAACCCGGTTGAGGCTGGTGCATGCATGAGGCAACTAATCAATGTTTCTCTTTCTTATTCTGCCCTCCCCCCTCCCTATCCTTCCTTTCCTCCCTCCCCTTCTACTTTTCCTAAAAAAACAACAATGGAAAACAAAATCCTAGGGTGAGGATTAACAGAACAAAACAAAAGGCTGTCCTCTCAGACAATGAGGAGTTAATGTAGGGCGTGGTTGGGCACAGAGGTGTCCAGTCTCCGTGGATGGCAGGGCTGTGAAGCAGAGCTGTGGCCCCCACTCCTCACACCCCTGCAGCACTCCTGGGCACCTTGCTGAAATGCAGATGCTGACTCAGCAGGGCTGGCAGGTCTGAGGCTGTGCATCCTGATGAGCTTCTGGTGACGTGGAGGCTGCTAGTATGGCTTGCACATTGTACAGTGAGGTCTAAATACGTGAATAAATTGAAATCTTGGACAAGCGAAGGAATCAGACTGGTAATGGGCACACAGATCCTCCCCGCCTCACCCCTCCTCTTGGGAGCCTTCTACCCTGTCCCCTTTGCAAGGGGCCAACTTGGACTTGGGGAGCATTTCAACATTCCCACCACCAGGAGGTCAGTGGTGCGAGAGGTGGTAGGTCTCTCATGACCCGTTAGCACTGGAGGATTACTAAGATTTAATGAACCTGACCCTCAGAAGTTGCAGAGACGGAGCCTGGGCATGAGCAATAGGGCTCTTTGCTGGCTGTCAGGGTCCCTCCGGGAATGCCTCACTGGCAGAGGCATTCCCCTACCCCCGTCTCTTCATCCTCAAGTGCCTATCAACTGAGTGTCTGCTGTGTGTCAGGCACTTCTCTGGGGACTAAATGATAAGCAAAAAATGCCACAACCCCAGTGTTCACAGTGCTTAGAGGCTGTGGGTGAGAGATGCTGGAGACCCTGAAGTATATGCTCAGTTGTAAGCGTATGTCCTTGGGCTACTACACCCAGGACCACAAACTGAGTGGCTTAAAACAGCAGAAATGTATCCTCTCACAATCCTGGACACTGTGTGTAACGCAGTCTGTCAGCAGGACTCTGCTCCCTCCTTCCTGCCTCTTCCAGCTCCTGGTGGCCCCGGGCATCCCTTGGCTTGTGGCCACATCCCTGCAGCCTCTGTTCCATCATCACAGCTTTTTTTTTTACGTCTTCTGTTCTGTCTCATCTAAGGCACTTGTCATTAGATTTCAGAGTCCAGGATGACCCCATCTCAAGCTCCTTGATTACACCTTCCAAGATCCCTTTTTATTTAATTACATCTGCAGAGAATGCCCAATGTCACCTGCACCGGTGGTGGAGGTGAGGGTGTGGACTTGTCTTCTGGGGACCACCATTCTTGCCACGTCAGGCACAGTGTACCCAAGAAGGCATCGTTCCATGAGAGCCTGAGATGGGGGGCTGAGTCCACCGTGGGGTGAAGTGTCAGGGAGGCTTTCTGGAGGAAATGGCCTTGGAGAGGAGGGGGCAGATTAGGCGTTCCCCAGGTGAGGAGAAATGGTGGAAGCGGGAGGGGTTCCAGGCAGAGGAACCAGCGTGGGCCAAGGTTCACGGACCAAGGGAGCCGTGTGTTCCTCCCAACTCGGAAGTTCCAAGTTCCTCTCCACAGTCCAATCAGATGCTCCTCACCAGCTGTGTTGTGGCGTCTGGCATAACACAGAATTAATCTGCTCCTCAGGGCCCTGCGCGCTCTGAGCATGTCCCAGCTCAGCGTTCTTACCCGGTTCCGGGCAGGGGTGCGGAGGCCTGGAGACAGGAAGCCATCGGTCCTGCAGGGGCTCAAAACCATTCAGCTCCATGCAGCAAGTGGGGCTCCCATCCACCAGCGAGGGTGTCCAGTGGCACAGGCACTTGGGAAAGCAATTGGGCAGTTTCTTAGTTAAAAACGGGTCTCATCTATGACCCAGCGATTCTCCTGAGCGCATGTCCAGGAAGACAAAACACAGGTCCTCAAAAGGACTTGTCCCGGGTGCTCAGCCCATTATTCACAGTAGCCAGAGACTAAACCACCAGGTGCCTGTCAGCAGCAGGCTGGAAGAAGCAACTGTAACTGCCTCCATACAGAGGGGTGGCCCTCGGCAAAAATAGGAGCAGCATCTGGTCACCAGAGTGGCTGGATCTCACAAGCATGACACTGAAGAAGAAGCCAGATACCAACATACGTAAAAGTAGAAAAGTTACTAGATCAGTGGTTTCTGGGGACAGGGTTGGGGCATAAAGTGACTGGGATGGGACAGGAGGGCACGTCAGGGTCGTAGAATGTTCTGGTCTCGATAGAGGTGCATTTGTTGTGCCTCTTCGGGTGGTAACCCTTGTATACATGTGGCCTGGGCAGTTTTAGTACCATCTGGGTTTCTGATGCCTCATCTGCCCATCTGGGCAGAGGGATGTGAATCCCAGACTGACCGCCAGCAAAGCCTCGACAATCCACCTGCCCTGCAGCTCTAGTTTCAGGGCAGGGGAGGGGCCCCAGGCTGTAGGCAGCGTGACTTCTCCAGGTGAGAGGCCCTGTGGAGGGAGCCATATCCAAGACCCCAGGGGCAGCTGGCTGGGTGGTGGCCTTGGGGAGCACCCTGGCCCACCCAGTCCCGCTCTGCAGGTCTCCTTGGTCTTCCTGATCAGCGGGCTGGTCATCCTGGGCTATGCCGCCTCCGTCAGTGGCCAGGCCACCTACCAAGGCGTGGTGGGAAGGCTGTGTGGACCTGCCATCGGGAAGCTGTGTGAGGCCTGCTTCATCGTCAACCTGCTCATGATCTCCGTGGCCTTCCTCAGGGTGATCGGGGACCAGCTGGAGAAGCGTAAGTACTTGCCCTGGAGGTGGGTGGCCTCAGGGTTCGGTGCTCCTTATGCCCCCTGAGCCTCCTGGTTTTGAACAGGATGGGGACACCGAGCGGGACCCAGGGGGACAGCAGAGACCGAGACCACCCCTGAGCTCACGTCCTGGGGAAGGGAGACTTGGGGTCAGTAATTACCAGCACAAAGAGAGTCCTGGTGGGGGGCGGGGGCAGGCTGTGGCTGGCTGCTAGTGGGGTCGACTGCAAAGAAGCCCCCGTGGAAGAGAACCAATAACACCTTGAGTTTTGGGACGTTGGAGACTAAATCCCATGCACCTGGGCCTCTAGTTCCCCACTAACAATTTCCCTCTTAGCACAGCTTTAGTTGCATCCCCAGCAATTTTGATATGTTCTGTTTTCATTTTTGTTCCATTCAAATCATTTGTTAGATTTTGCTGGGATTTCTTTGACTTACAGGATGTTGAATGCTATGTGGTTTGATTTCTAATTGTTTGGGACTTTTTTTTAGATCCCTTTTTGGGTTCTATCTTAATTGCATCATGGTCAGACAACACACGTGGTGATTTCCATTTTCTTGGTATTTGAGACTCGTCTGTGGGCCCCCACAGGTTCTGTGTTGGGGAGCATTTTGTGTGTGGTGCAGTGTTCTGGAACTCTTCATCCGGTCAAGGTTCTCCACAGCTTGGAGCAGGTCTTCATGGCCTTGCTGATTTTTGGGTCTAATTATTCTATTCGTCTGAGTGAGGGTGTTAAACTTGCAGTCACAGTTGAAGATTTGATCTGTTTCTCACTTTTAACTGTCCAGTTTTGCCTCATGGTCCTTGATGCTCTGTCATAGGCACCCACCCACGAACTACCTTTTATTGTTGTGAAATACCCGCTTTTGTCTCTAGTGATACTTGGTCACTAAATCACCTTCTCTACTAAAGTGTAGGCGCTCCAGCTGCTTTCAGATGAGTGGTTAAGCAGTATTTCTCCTCCCGTTCATGCTCTGTGAACCAAACGGTGGTGTGGGCTTTTCAATGCATTTTTCGTAGATAGCATATGGTCGGTTCATGCTTTTATTTTTAATCATCTTGACGATCTCAGACAGACTTCTAATTGGAATGTAATTATTGATATGGTTAGATTTCACTCCGATGTTTTGATGTTTCTTTGGTTTGTTCTCTCTGTCACTTTAGTCGTGAATAAAAAGGCCCCTGGCTTTGGGGTGCTGAGATTAGAGGCTTCTATGTTTGGGGCAGCATTCTTACCCAGAAAGCATTGAGGCTGGTGGATCTGAGCCCATGGTGGGTAAATGGGTACAAAATGCCCTGCTTCCAAGGGGCAAGTTGAGGCCACATCAGTTTCACCTCGGGTCACCGGCCGTACTGCCGTGTGAGGAAGATTCTGAAGCCGCGTGTAGGCTCAGCTGTAGAGCCCAGAGTGATTAGAGTTGATTAGATACAGGCCACCTGGTTCGGGGGGGAGGGGGAGTTTGATTGAGGAGGAGAGAGCATTGTGTGTTTCTGGTCCAGGCTTCTCAGGAGGAGGACTACTGGGGAAGTCACTGAATGTACTGGGTACAGATGAGTTGACTCTAAGTGACTGGTACTGAGGGTGTCAAGGAATGTCCCAGGACGTGCGGGTTCAGGCAGGAGTCAGAGTATCCATGGTGTCGGAGCTGGGTTCCAGCTGCAGGAGATCAGTGGAGTGGAACGGCTCGCCCACGCAGGCTCTGACACGCACCCAGATCTCGGCAGCTTTGGTGCAGGCATTCTCTTGGCATCTCCGGCCCAGAAAACCTGCCTCCCACTCCTGCATGGGCATCTCTGTACAGTGACCTCGATGTGGAACCGTCCCCTGGGTCATTTCAGTAGAAGTAAGCTATTCTCATAAGGCATTTATTTGTCTGCATGGCTGGCTTTATGGAGCATTTGGCGAGGACAGAGAAAGGGCAGTGTGAGTAGTCAGTTCTCAGCCACCACCCAGTGGGGCTGTAGGGGCCTTCTCACCTCACAGGTTCCAGCCTCAAGCCACCTTGCCATCTCCCCTTTGCTCTCCCCTCCCCCATCCATCTATCTTGCCTCTGATACCAACTACAAATTCTTCATCGTATGTGGTGGAATAAAACAGTCCCAGGTTCTTAGTGCTCCCTCCACTGAGAGGTGGGCTCTGTGGCATCTTGGCCCAGTAGAGAATGGCAGATGGGGCACCATGCTGATTCCAGGTCTGGCCTTTAAAAGGACGGGCAATTTCCCCCTGGGTCTCCGGGAGCCCCCGCTGCCATGGACTAGGGGGTCCATGTGGAGAGGCCCCAAAGCTGTAGGGCAGGCCGAGCTGAGCCCAGGGGTCCCCACCAGGCACCTGATGTGGGGAGAGCATCGAGATCCCTCCAGACCAGCCCTCCCATCAGCAAAATACCCGCAAGTGACCCCCATGGGTTCCACATGGAGCAGAAGTAGCCCGCTCCGCCCTATCTCCTTCTCACATCCTGCTCGTGGCAGATAATCATGGACGCGCCAGGCCATGTTGGGGTAGCTTGCTGTGCAGCGGAGACAGAGAACATGGCTCAGCCCAGCACCAAAAAGCCACCCTGGCGCCTGCTAAACCCACACGCCCACTGAGCTCCTGAGCAGAAACAAAAGGTTCTGTTACCAGAACATAAGGGCCCAGGGGCCTCGGGCAGGTCATTTGTCTCACTGTGGCTGCATTCCAGCCCGGGGAGCAGTGCCTGGCTGGTAGGAGCCCAGGAAGCATCTGTCGAAGGAGTTTCTGCAGCCAGATCTTTCCTTCGTGGTGGCACATGACGGGATCCCCATCGTACTTGTCCCAGCCCTTTAGACTCAGAGGGCAGACAGTGCCCATGGCAACCCCTGCCAGGGATGGAGAGCTGGGAGCCCGGGGCAGGGCTCTGATTGCTGGGTGAGAGCCACAGGCTCACTGCGGCACCCCCTTCCTTCCGCCTTCCCGCCAGTGTGTGACTTCCTCCTGCCCAGTGCGCCACCAGCCCTGCAGCCCTGGTATACCGACCAGCGCTTCACCTTGACCCTGCTCTCCATGTTGGTCATCCTGCCCCTGTCCGCCCCGAGGGAGATCAGCTTCCAGAAAGTCACGAGGTACAGGCAGCGGCTTTGACTGGGTCCCCACTGTGGTTGGTGCTGGTATTTTGGGGGGCTCTGCTATGGGGAGCTGTTAGCATTGGCCTTCCCATTTGGAGAAGGGGGGAAACATTAAAAATTACACAGGTAACGTGTGTGTGATAGGAAATATATTAGAAAAGCAGAAGGGAAAACTACCAACATGGCATAACCTGCAGCTGCTGTTTTATTTCACTGTTACAAACTTCATATGCCCACACATGCATACACACAGGCACAGAGACAGACATACACATACTGTTTTTCATTTTGTGGTCCATGGCCTTATGTATATTTTTGAAGGAAAAAAAAGAGTCTGGCAATATATTCATGTAAATTTGCAACTTGTGTTTCCCTGTTGTGTTCAGAGCAACAATGGATGTCTGACCTTGGAAACAGAGAAACAGTGGGTAGGGGACTAGAGCCCCTAGGTGCCCCAGTCTCCAGTCTCTTGTCACACCCAACTGAGTCAGGGGTCCTCCTCCCCGCAGCCAGTGTCACATCCGGGCCTGTGTGGCTGTTGGAGAGACAGGGTGCTGGTGGCCATCACAGCCTCGCAGGTGCGGCCAGTTACAAACTGGCCCCATCTGACCCTGGGCCTGGGCACACTTCTGCCTGAAAGATCTTCCACCATCCCCGCCATGCAGATGAGGGATCCGAGGTGCAGGGCCGTGAGAACTGCCTGGCACCTTGCCCGTGTGGGCAGAGCCGCATTCAGACCCCCCCTGTGTGTGTGGTCGTGCATCGTCTGTGTGTTAGCTTCCTAGGCACCCTGGCCGCCTGCTACCTGGCCCTGGTCATCGTGGCACAGTACTACCGGGGGCCCCCGGGCCTTGCTCGCGAGCCCAGTCCTGCGCCGAGGTGAGTCTGAGGGGATGGCCTTCCACGGCTTCCTGGGGTGCTGCAGGGGATCCTGCGGGAAGGACACGTCTCCCCCACTGTGTGCACAGAGCCCCGCTCCTCTCAGCCAAATCCTCGGTGTCTCTGAGGCCTGAGGTCCCAGCGCAGGCCCCTCTCCCCTCCAGCATGGACACACCGTGGTTAGTAAGAACCAGGGGCAGCCAAGGAACACAGCCCCCAGCCCGCTCCACCCTGGGGCTCCTGGGCCTTCGCAGCGGTGTCCCCACAGCTTGGAGCCGGTGGAACCGGCCAGCGAGATGCCGATGCCTGGGCAGAGGGAGCAGGGTGACAGAGGCCGGTGTGACCCCCCCAGCCTGAGCGAGGCGGGAGTGGGGGCGGGAGTCCTGTGGGGACCTGGAGCCTTACTGAGGTGGGGTTTTGCTGGGTGTGAGCACAGCAGGGGCTTGAGATCAGATCTTTGGGTGACAGGCCAGCTCCATAGGCACGTGACCTATGAGGTTACCCAGGGCTGCGCTCAGAATTAAGCCAATTTGCACTTGGCTTAATGCCCAATGCTCTTAATCGTTGTTGGACAAGGGTCCTCCGTTTCGTTTTGCACTGGGCCCTGCAAATTATGTGGCCCCTCCTGGCCGACAGCTTGGAAGTGGAGCATGAGAGAGAGGAGTCCAGGGTGGTCCGAGCATTGGCCTGAGCACCAGGAAGATGGCGGCACCATATCATAGGAGCCAGTGGCTGGGGACAGGCCGGAGGTGTGAGGTTCGAGTCAGTTTGAATGCCTACGTGAAGGTACAGGTAGCTTGTCAGACCTGGATGTGGAGTTCAGGAGAGAGAGGCTGGGCTGGAGGGAGAAATGTGGCTGATGTCAGCCCAGAGATGGCATTTAAGGCCTGGAGATGGGCAAGGTGGTACACCCAGAACCCACTGCGGAGGGGTGGGGAGTCAGACGTATTAGCTTTCTGGAGCTGCTGTGACAAAGGACCACAAACCTGATGGCTTAACACAGAAACACTTTGTCCTCTCTCAGTTCTGGAAGCCGGAAGTCCAAAATCTAGGTGGGGCAGGCCAGGCTTCCTCTGGAGGCTCCAGGGGAGGGCCCTGCCCGCCTCGTCCAGCTCCTGGGTGGCCAGTGGTCCTTGGCTGAAAGTGGATGCGTCGCTCCAGTCTCTGCCTCCACCGTCACTCGGCCTCTCCTCCTGGCTGTCTGTTTCCCTTCTTATAAGGACCCTCCCAACCTACTCCTCTGTGACCTCATCTTAACTAATTACACCTACAGAGACCTATTTCCAAATGAGGCACCACTCTGAGGTCCCCAGTGGATGTAAATTTGGGGGGACAGCATTCAACCAGGATAGAGGACAATAGTAGGTGGGTCCCAGGTGTCAGTGGACAAAATTTCAGGAAGTTGGTATGATCATTGCCAAATGTTGCTCCTGGTTACAAAGGACTGAGCCCTGGACATCGATTTGGAGGCTGCTGGTGGCACTTCTTGGTCAGGGCAGGAGAGGGAGTGAAGGCCCCGGTGGATTGGGTTCAGGAGAGAAGGAAGGAGGCAGGAAAGAGTTCTTCTGAGGAGGGGAGGAGAGGGATGGGCATGAGCTGTAAGGGACAGAGGCCTCAGCCCCTGTTTATGCTGATGGACATCTCTTAGAGAAGGAAGAACCAATGAGGAGAGGGCCAGGCTCACTGCTAATCCGCAGCCTCGAATCAGGGGAGGGGAGGCCCTGTGCTCCGGGGACTCAGGCTAGAGCTCAGACTGCCTCTTTCCTGGGGCCTGCACCTGTGGGCCCAGGAGATGCAGGCAGGCAGGTGGGCCGTGCCGACATGGCACTCTGGTGGCGAACGGGAAGCCTGGCTGTTGAGGAAAGTGTGGGCAGCCCGGCGTGGTGGGGAGGCGCCATGAGCAGCCTTCAGCGTTAAGTCAGCCGTGGGCAGCACAGAGCAGGAGTCACCGCTCTGCAAGTGTCCTGTGGCTGCTGTGACCAACTACCACCACCCTGGGGGCTTACACAGCACTCATTTACCCTCTCTCTTCTCTGGAGGTCAGAAGTCCAAAATGGGCCTCACGGGGCTAACGTCCAGGTGTCGGCAGGGCTGCATTCCTCTTGGAGGCTCTCGGCGAGAATCAGTTTCCTGGCCTTTCCCAGCTCCTAGCGTAAGGTGACCAGATATCCTGCTTTTGGCGGGACAGTCCCGATTTTTAACAATTTGTCCCGCGTCCCGCGGCATTTTAAAAAAGTAAAAAAAAAAAAAAAGTTTAAAATCTTTCAAAAAATCTGGACTTTTTTAAAATGCCGTGGGACGTGAGACAAATTGTTATAAATCGGGACTGTCCCACCAAAAACGGGACGTCTGGTCATCTTATCCTAGGGGACACTCGCTCTCCATGGCTCATGGCCCTGCCTCCATCTTTAAAGCCAGCAGCATTCCTTTTCTCTGACCCAATCTCCATAGTCACAGCCCCCTCTGCTCACCCCCAGGAAATGTTCTCATCGCAGGGATCTGGGGGACACCTCGGGCCTAGATAGCCAGGATCACCTCCCCCCTGAGTCCTTCCCTTACTCACACCTGTCAGCTCACTTACTCCCAGGTTGCTGGGATTCAGACATGGGCCTCTTTGGGGGCCATTATTCTGGCACAACCAGGAAACCCTGATTCTGTAGTAAGCGTTATTTACACCCCACTTCACTATATACTCCTAAAGGTGCTGGATGCTGGCATGTAGTGCTGCTTGCCAAAGGAAGCTTGAGGGCCACCGTCCTGAAAATTCTGCCCATGCACACCTCTGTCCTTTTTGGAGCTTGGGCAGAGGTCAATCCATCTCTGCACCATTGGGGTCTGTTGGATGGAGGTCAAACCATCCCTGCCCTGTTGGGGTCTGTTGGACGGAGATCAAACCATCCTTGCCCTGTTGGGGTCTGTTGGATGGAGGTCAAACCATCCCTGCCTTGTTGGGGTCTGTTGGATGGAGGTCAAACCATCCCTGCCCTGTTGGGGTTTGTTGGATGGAGGTCAAACCATCCCAGCCCTGTTGGGGTCTGTTGGATGGAGGCTGCCTGTGCTCCCCAGCCCTAACCTTGAGGGAACAGGCAGCCTCAGAGGGAGGCTGGGAGTTCCTGCTCATCATGACCTTTCCAAGTTCTCCCAGCCCAGAGAATGTCAAGTTACCAAGATGTCAGCTCAAATGTAATTAGAAAGTGCAACACTGAGCATGCCTCTCTTTGCATCTCCCAGACCTGGGAGCGGACACAATAATTAAAAATACATTTTGCAGTCATGCTCAGGGACACCTTTCTGGTCTTTAAAACTCATCTTCAAGCTGAGCGTGGCTGTGAAGTCAGCTTTTTGTAACCAACACACGTTCTTGTCTGTTTGCAGTCCTTCCTCCTGGACCTCTGTGTTTAGTGTCTTCCCCACCATCTGCTTCGGCTTTCAGGTAAGCTCAGCTCTACGTTGGTGAGCGTGGCATTGGCGGGCTGTGGTGACTCCCTGCTCCCGTGGGAGGGTGTGGCCTCCCCGGCAGGAGAGAGGGGTGAAGCTCATTCCGGGATGTGACGGGCTGTCTTCCGGAGACTGCGTGTGTGTGTGTGTGTGTGTGTGTGTGTGTGTGTGTGTACGCGCGCGCGCGCGCGTGCGTGTGTGAGAGAGAGAGAGAGAGAGAGAGAGAGAGAGAGAGAGAGAGAGGGAGAGAAATAGAGAGAGAGAATCTGGGCTCCGTGAGGTGTGATTTGCTGTTGAACTGGGGAACCCGGCCCCCACTGGCAGTAGCAGCAGCAGCAGAGAGGGAATTCAGCACCTGTCCCTTGCAGGACTGTCGACACCCAGAGTTGTCCATGTCCTCAGCAGATCTCTGTCCCAGGGGCCTTGGCGAGGAAGCATCCTGCCTCTGGAGGCGTGGAGGCCGAGGGGTGGATGGTGTGCAGGGGTCTGTGTGGTGGGGGTACGGGGCAGAACGTCTGACAGAGTCATGCACTGAGGGTGGCCTCTGTGTGCGGTCCAGCCAAGGGGCGTCTGACAGCAGTGGTCGGGCAGAGCCAGAGACACCCTCTTTCAGGCACTGATGTCTGAAAGGCATCTTGAAGAATGTGTGGGAGGCACCAGGTGAAGGGGAGGGCGGTCCAGCTAGAGGGTGTGGGAGAGAGGGTGTTGGGAGGGGAGAGCATGCCTGGTGGGGCTGCAGGGCTGTAAAGGGCTCTGCCAAGTGGGGTCCCTGAGGTGCCAGAGGGTATGGCGGAGAGTGTGGGCGCTGCTCCCTGCCTTCTGGGTTTCCCAGGCTCCTAGCAGGTGGCAGCTGACTCCATTCTTCCACTGTTTATTTTAGGAAACATTGGCCTCTCTCCTACCAACCTACCCACCACACACACCAATAGCAAAACCACCCAAAGCCAAGTGGCGTTGGCAGGGGAGGTGGCTCAGGAGTGACACCATCCCAGCTTCCCACCCTGCGCTTTGTCTTCCCTTCGCCGCCATCTGGCGCCTGTTGCTGTTCCTCATCTTGCGTTTTCTCTGAGAAACATTTTTGAAAAAAACATCTTGAAACGTTTCCATTTCTCTTCCTTATAAATGAGTTGATGGTATCACTTCTGGGGCTTAGCAAGCCATTTATAAGACATTCTCACATTTTTTTTTCCTGCACACCCAATGTTTTGAAAGATCTACAGCAGTGATTTTGCTGTCAGCTGTTTGTCTGGATCTGGTTCAACGGCCCTCCCTCCAGGGTCTGAGCACCATATGGTGTGGCAGGCTCCCACTGGGGGGGAGGGGGGGAAGAGGGGGCTGCTTTTCAGAGGCTTCCCTGGGGGTGCCCCCCTCACCTTTCTCCTCATTCCGTTCTCCTAGCAACGGAGGCCTGGCTGAGGTTTCCAGGGACACAGATGCAGGATGGAGATTTGGGAAAAGATGTGAACTGCAGGGTGGGGGTGGGGCTGAGGCCAGAGGCCGGGCTGTCGTGGTCTGGCTGGGAGAGTCTGTGTGGATGAGGCCAGGAAATAGAGGGGGGTGGGGGGCCAAGGCTGGAGGGCTGTGCGAGGAGGGGAGGCTCCTTGGCCTGGTTCAAGCACCACCCCCACATTTAGCAGCCCCACCCCCAGAGGCAGGGAGCTGGTAAGAGGGGCCTGCGGGGGCAGAGTGGGTGCGGGCTCTGCTCCCGCCATCCTGGCCGCACTGGGGACTTCTCTATTGTTTTTTAAACAACAGCTTTCTTGAGATAGAACTCCCATAGCATGCATGTCACACACCTGAAGTGTAAGATCCAGGGGTGTGGTGTGTTCACAGAGCTGTGCGACCATCAGCACAATCGATTTTAGACCATTTCAGCTCCCCGAGAACCCTGAACCTGTTACCAGTCACCCCCCACCCCTCACCCTCCCTCAGCCCCTGCAGCCGTGAGTCTCCTGCTGTCTCTGCCTGCCTGCTGTAGACGGTTCACGTAAAAGGAATCCCACAATGCTGGTCCTTTGTGACAGCTCTCTCAGCATCGTGTCCTTGAGGCTCATCCCCCTGGTGGACATGTCGGTGCTCTGGTCCTTTTTATGGCTGAGTCTTATCCCACTGTTTGCTGATCCATTCCTCAGCATGCACACCAGGCGGTTCCCACCTCTTAGCCAGCATGGGCGCCTCTGCTCTGCCTCCCGCCTCAGTGAGTGGCGAGCATGCGCACAGCCAGCCCCTCTCTCAGGTGTGCGCAGGGCAGCCTCCCCTCCCCATCCCGGGGGACCTGCTGTAGCTTCCCTGTGAAACATGACCCAGGAATCTGGGGACAGAGAAGGAAGGGCAGGGCTCATCCAGACCCCGCCAAGCCTTTTCCCCATTTCTGAGTTTGGGAGGCAGGAGGGGGGAGCATTGATCCACAGAGTTGAGGGTCCCCAGGAATTGGGGGCTCCTGTGAAGTCAGAGGAGTCCCGGGAAAGAAAGCCGAAGATGCACTGGTGCCCGGAGGCTAGTCTGTCCTAGAAGGTACATGCGAGCTCACTGGGGACCATGCTGGGCAAGTTTCTGTGGTACCCAGACTTGCTGAGTCAGACTGTAAAATCTGAGTCCCGGAGAGCTTGCCTCTCTGTTGCTGGGCGGGTTTCTTAAAGGGATGGGTAACCGAGTAACCCCTGGAGCATCCCTCAGGGGGGCCAGGCTCCCTGCTTGGCTTGAGACAGACGTGGTCCTGGATGCCAGGGAGCTGATGGTAGATGCTGAACAAGCAAAACCAAACTTGCTCACATAGGGGGGTTAGGCGGGGGGAAACACATGAGAGAGGAACTTGGCTGGCGGGGGTGTGGGGAGATGTGGGAACTCATGAGAGAGGAACGTGGCCTGGCTGGGAGGCTTGCCTAAGGCATGAGAAGGAGCTGCCAGGCCGGGAGAGGATCCCAGGGAGAGGAGACGGCTGGAGAAAAGGCCCTGCGGCCATGCAGGACAGGTGGGCCTTGCTCAGTGAGTGAGAGGGGTGGCCCGAGCCTGGAGAGTGGGCAGGAGTAGATCACGCTTGGTTTTGGTCAGAAGTGAGTGAGTGTGTGACACGACAGTGGGAGCCCTGACCCCTCAGGAGCCTGGGATGATCCCAAACCCCCAGGGAACATCCAGACACTACAGCGCCTCTCAGCCCTGCCTGCGCCTCAGGGCCTCCTGGTGCCGGTAAGACACCCTGCCCAGGGCTGCCCCAGGAAACAATGCCCCGGCCAGCTGGGCTCTTGGCATGGGCTAGAGGTATTTTATGTTAAATGTATGATGCTATAATCATACTATGATATACACGAATCATAAATATCTATGCTCCTGTGCAGCGCCCCCCCCTCCCCCAATCAGGATAGAGAACATTGCCAGCTCCACCCCACCCACACCACTGTTCTTAAGTGGTGGTTCTCAATGGGGGTGATGTGCCCACCCCCATGGCAATCTGGCCCTGTCTGGAGACATTTTTGGTTGTAACACTGGGGACAGATGTTCCTGGCATCTAGTGGGTCGAGGCCAGGGATGCTGCTCAATATCCCACATGCCCAGGAGGGCCCCTGTTTGGCTTGTATTTCGAACGTCACGCACAGGAAAATGTTCTTTCGTGTCTGGCTTCCTTTGCAAAAACGTCAAAGCTGTGAGGTCCTTTCCAGTGGAGGTGCACAGTGCGTTCATCCTTTCTCATTGCCGTGTAATATCCCACCAAAGGAACATCTAGTGATTTACGTAAGCTGCTTCTGCTGGGGGGCATTCGATGGTTTTCTCTATTTGGGACACTGGCACTTCTGAGATGGTGCTGGGTGGGTCTAACGTCCAGCTCCCCACTGCGCCTGCCTGTCTTCCAGTGCCACGAGGCTGCTGTCTCCATCTACTGCAGCATGCGCAACCAGAGCCTGTCCCACTGGGCCCTCGTCTCCGTGCTGTCCTTGCTGGCCTGCTGCCTCGTCTACTCGCTGACAGGTAAGGCCCTGCCTGGGGCACTGGGGGAGGGATTGGCAGGAGAAATGGGAATAATGACGAGTATTTATAGAGAGCTTACAGTGTGCAAAGCACAGCGCTATGCAGTTTGGGTGCCTTCTCTCATTTAATCCTTAACACCCCCTAGGAAAGTTCCCATTTCATAGATGAGCAAACTGAGGCTCAGAAGGTCCAGGGCCTGCAGGGTCATGGGTTGGCCAAGGTCTCCAAACTCCATGTAGCAAAGCTGTGACCCTAACCCTGGCTCGGCTGTCCCCAGGGCCCCTCCCTGCGCTGTGCCCCCGCCTGCCGCTGCCTGATGGGACAGTGATAACCATGGCCATCTGGGTAGCAGTTTGCAAAGTCCTCTCTCGATGGATTCGGTGCTCAGACCTGTGCTGTACGCAGAAGGGTCTTCAAAGGTGGCGGCAGTGTGGCTCAGAGGGGGGCTGTGGTTTGCCCAAGGTCACTGCATGCCCACGGCACAGCCCAGGCCCAGGCTCAGGCTGGCTTCTGGGTGCCTTTCTCCAGCCCAGAGGCTGGCCCTGTCATCTGCCTGTTGGGGCCTCTGGCTTGGGAAGCCCTGGGGCTGCAGAGAATGGGGCAGGGGCCTTGGACACCATGGCTTCAAAAAACTGGCTGGGCGACCTCTCCCCAAGCAAGGGAGGTCCCTGTCAGGCTGTGGCCCCTCGTAGAAGTGCCATAACCTGCTCACCATCCGGATGGCTCAGGTCAAGGGCCAGTAGGATCGTGAGATTAAGGTTAAACTTAGCTCTTGGCTAGAGATGAGTGTCTCAGGACAGGGCAGGTGACCAGGCTGTGAGAGGCAGCATTGGGTTGCAGGCAAGGGGCCTGGTGCCCTGTACCCAGTTCTGTGTGGTCTGTGTGATTCTGGCAGTTGTTGACATCCCATCAGGAAAATGGGTGCACTGCCAGTGTCTTTCTGTAGGTGCTGTCAGAGAGGGGTGACTGGCATGGAAGGCACTGGCACCGTTGTCAGAGCGCTGTGTGCCCCTGCAGTGCCCACTCTACGACCAGGCCCTGGTGGGCCATTGGAAGAAGGGTTCGCGGTAGTTTTGCCCAGTGGGAGTTTTGAGTCAGAGGAACAGAGTCTCCCATAGGCTGAGGGCGGAAACACCTTGGGAAAGAGCAGAACAGAGAACTCTTCCAGAACCTCCTGTCGGCTCCTAGGAAAAGCCTTACAGCTGGGAGAAGCCAGTGGGAATGTCGGAGTTGGGAAGGGCCCAGCCTTTTTGACTCAGCTCCCTGCCCCACCTCCCTCCCTCACTCCCAGGCGTTTATGGCTTCCTGACCTTCGGGACCACAGTCTCTGCCGACATCCTGATGTCCTACCCGGGTGACGACGGTGTCATCATCGTGGCCCGAGTCCTCTTCGCCGTCTCCATCGTGACCGTCTACCCCATTGTGCTCTTCCTGGGGAGGTGAGCTGGCTCAGGGTGGGTGTGTTCAGCACAGGGCACTGATACGGATCACGGTTTAGCCGTGCCAGGCGTGTTCTGGGACGGCGTCATCTCTGCTCCATAGAGGAGTACACGGGTCAGGTCATTAGTCACTGGCCCAGCATCAACAGGGAGCAGCGTCAGCACTGGAGCCTGGTCTCCAGCCGGCCCTTGACCACCCACTGTGTGGCCCCTCGCTCCGGCTGCCTGACACAGACTGACCGCAGGGAGTAGTCGCCCCTGGTGTGGAACCGGAGCCCTGCCGGGTGTGCAGGGCATGCATGGGGTGGGCCCTCTAGGGACCCCGAAGGCAGGTGGGTGAGAGGGCTGGAGCCCGGAGCCGTGCGTGCCTGTGCTGGCGTGGCCTCCAGGTCGGTGATGCAGGATTTCTGGAGGAGGAGCTGCTGCCAGGCGTGTGGGCCCAGGGCCCTGGCCAACCCCTCGGGGCTGCTGACCGTCCTGTGGGTCGCCGTGACGCTCGCCATGGCCCTGTTCCTGCCGGACCTCAGCGAGATCATCGGCATCATCGGCGGCATCAGTTCCTTCTTCATCTTCATCTTCCCAGGTGAGGCTGCTTCCCAGGCCTCCTGCCTGCACGTTGTCTCACCCCCACACCCTCAATCCTGCTCAGCAGGGAGTCCCTGTGTTGGGGGTCGGGGTCTGGAGGCAGGAGCCCTGTGTTGACAGGATGGTTCCCAGCCCTGTTTCCAGGCCAGGCAAGGGCTGCCGGCTTTATAGACCTTCCCTCGTTAAACACCTCTGTGCCCGACACTCCTGACCTCCTGACGGGGCTCCGTTACTCCCACCGGCAGATGGGACCGAGGCCTGGGCACCTCCTGGTGGCATGGCGAGCATGTAGCAGGCCCCAGGCCACCTCCCACCGTTGCCACTCGCTGCAGGACTGTATTTTATTTCTTAAAAATGTTTTCAATTGCATGACATTCATAAGGCCCAAAGGCACCCCCATGAAATCTTTGTCCCGCCTTATCCACCCACCTGGAAGGCGGTTTCTGACAATTTTGTAGGAAACTTACCCAATGTTAGTGAACCTCAAAATGTCCTGAGGGTGAACCATGGAGGCCAAGGCCTCCGGGCCACACTGCATCGCCCTGAAAGCCCGTCTGCCTACGAGGAGGTGCTGTGGTCTCCGGGCGGAAGCCCAGCCCGGCTGCCCCGCCTCCGGGAAGCGCTTTCACATGAGAGGGCTGCGGTCAGCCTGCCCCTTGGCCTCTTGGCCCAGCTGCTGCCGCAGTCGTGCCCATTTGGGATCTGAAAGATATACGCGCTGGCCTCGGTGCCCATGACCTGGATGGTGCCATTAGCTGGGTGCTGGGAAGGACTGGCAGGGACAGGTTTGGGATGGGGACATGCCATGGAGCTTTAGGCAGAACTGTCTGGCTTCAAATCCCAGCAGAATTATTATATTTGGAGAGGGTGCGGGGAGAGAAAGGAAGAAAAGCTGCCAGTTGTTGAACTCATCCCAGCTGTCAGGCCAAGTGTGGCCCTGCACATCTCACAGGGATCCTGGCCCGCAGCTGTGCATCAGTATCTGTGAGACTGGGGCTCAGGGGCCCAGGTTTCGGGGAGATGCTGAGCTGGGATGCACAGAGGCCTCAGCCACTGCCCTGTGCCCCTTGCCCCGAGCAGGGTGAGCCAGGGGGCCTTGAGCAGCGGTTTAGCTGGCCTCTCGGGTCCCTGTGGTGTTGGCTGAGCTCTGAGAGCTCAGGGCCGCTTTAGGTTCCATAACGAAGAGCCGGGGACCCTCGTCTCTTTGCAGGTCTGTGCCTCATCTGTGCCATCGGCACCGAGCCCGTAGGACCACGAGTCAAGTAAGTGTCCTCCAGTGAGGGTGCAGCGTGGGCATTGGAAGGGCCCTGAGTGAGGGGAGTGTGAATGCTGCAGGGGCCGAGGAGACCCCTCGTCTTGCAGATGAGAAAACTGTTGGCCATGGGGGTAGGGCCGTGTGCACACAGGGAGAGGGAGTCTGAGTGAGCCAGGACTCGAACCCAGGCCAGCAGCACATGGCCTGTTACCTTTCCCTTCGGCTCTGAGGGTTGTAGTCTGTGGTTGGAGCTTTATGTGGACTCGAGGTCTTCCTGACAAAGACCCTAGGTCACAGTCACAGGTTCCGGGTAGATGTGAATTTGGGGACCATCACTTAGCCCAGTTCAGACGCTCTTAAGTCATAGCAGCCATGGCCTTGGGTCCTACCTGCAGGCCGGGGCTCTGTCTCCCACTGCCCAGGCTTGGCTGTCGTAAAGTCTAGCTTGGCCTGTTTCCTTCTGGGGGAAGGGTTTTTCTGGATGTGCCTACAACTGCCTGGGCTTAGGGCTGGCCTGATGGTCTGGTGGCCCCTGCACGGCCCTTCCCTGTAACGCCCTTTGAAGTCCTGCTGCCTTTGTTCTGTGCCTCGGTCCCAGCTCACAAAAGGTTAGTGATGGGCTTTCAGGGCCTTTTTAACTCTGGGGCTGCTCGGGGCCTTCTGATCATCTGAGCTGCTCTGAGAGCTGCGGCCCGTCACGATCACCCGCTCCCCACTCTGACGGTGCATGTTTATGGCACCAAATTGCCGCTCTGAGATGCTGCTTGACGAGAGATGGTCTTTCCATGACAACGGTCCTCGTGGCCTTTGTTAACGGGGCCAGAAATATCTCTGGCGGCCCTGCCATTGTGTGGGATCTTATTGTCATCATTCTCATCTCGTCGTTTCGCCCTCTCTTTTGGTGACATTATGAAGCTCGAGATGTTGCCTTGGTGGCGGCCAGTTCTAGCCACCTCTGCCTCCCGCACGCTCATCCCCTCACCACTGTTCCAATCCCGTGTGATACGGGGCTTTCCTCATCTCCCTTAATTTGAGGGGCTTCGTCCCTCCCACCCCAAAAGGAACAGGGATGGGCAGGGAGTTTGAGACTAGTGTCTTTCTCTTCCTATTTCTTTGGCTTTGATAAAAAATTGAACAGGACTGAGGTTATGAGCAGACAGGTAGAGATTTTTTTTTTTTTTTAATTGCCTCAGGCTCTTTCTTTCCTGTTGTTTCAGAAACCCATCCCTCCAGGCAGGAGAGGGATACCTGGACCTTTCCCCCCCAAATCGATGACTCTACTGGGATTCAAATGATGTTTTCTCTGTGTGCGTGGCTTATGTGTGCAAAACTCCCGAGGCATGCGTGCTGACGCGGGTTTGTTGACTTGGCAGGTGCTGCTTGGAGGTCTGGGGAGTGGTGTCCGTGCTTGTCGGCACCTTCATCTTTGGGCAGAGCACGGTGGCAGCCCTCCTGGAGCTCCTGTGAGGGCGGCCACCCTGGGCAGGCGGGGGCTTCCCTGGGCCACCCTGGTGCGCTCCCTGGTCCCCGCAGGAGACCGATGTAATCCCACCATAAAGATGCTGGAGAACCTGGTACCTCTGCGTTCTCCGGTGCTCATTGCGCTTCTGCTTGTCTGAGGGTCTCTGGTCCGCGGTGAGGGGGTGCCTCAGTCTCCGGGGCTGCCCTAACCAATGGCCACAGGCTGGTGGCTTGGAACGGCAGGCACTTATTCTCTCACAGTCCAGAGGTCAAGGCGTGGGCAGGGCCACGCTCCCTCTGAAGGCTCCATGGGAGGATCCTTCCTGCCTCTTCCAGCTCCGGTGGTTGCCAGCAATCCTTGGCTTGTAGAGGCATCCCCCCCTCTCTGCTTTCCTCTCTACATGGCCTTCTTCCCTCTGTGTCTGTGTCCGAATTTTCCTCCTCTTGTAAGGATGCTGTCATGGGATTGCGGCCACCCTGATTCATCTTAAGTTACTGAATCATGGTTTGCAAAGATCCTGTTTCCAAATAAGGTCACATTCATATTAAGTTCTTCCAGGGATAGAACTTAATATTTCTGGGGTACACAACTCAATCCAGGGTGCTGAGGCCCAGGCATCCCTGCTTTGGGGGCACCAGGATCAAATACACGGGGTGAGGGTAGCACACAGAGAACCCCAAAGGGGGTTCCCGGTGGCATCCACTGGACATGGAGGTGCACTCAGGCTGGTCCTCGGCCAGGGCACAGGGAAGGTGGGAGGTGCCCAAGGCGATGCATGCCCAGCACTGGCCACACAGCCTTGCCCCTGGCCCACGCTTCCAATGGGAGAGCCCTTCCCTCCACTGGCTGGACCTGAAGGGCCTAGAAGACAAGTGGACCGTCTGTTCCATAGCTCCCTTCTGAGCCAGACCAGCTCTGCAGGGAGAAGTCACACCTGCGGCTGAAGATGGGGACAGAGGGCCTGCCTGGGGAGGTCAGCGGCTCCCCCAGGCGCTGACCCTGCACGGGCCCAGCATGGTGCTGGGTTCAGGCCACTCCTCCCCTGGGACGTCTGACAGAAGCCAGCATGCGGGGCTGACAGCCAGGACGCCTCCCGCAGGGTAGGTTCTCTGTGTGGTGCAATGTGTACATGACCATGGGAGGGTGGGGGTGATTGAACCGCTTTCTGTGTTTTTCCAGCTTGTCCACCTGCATTCACTTTTTTGAGATATAATTCACGTACTAAAATATTCACCCTTCGGAAGCACAGAATTCAGTGGGTGCTAATTGACGCAGAGCCGTGTTGCCATCACTGATGTCTAATTCCAATCCATCAGCCCTGAGAAACCCTGCACTGTCAGCAGCCTCCCCCCCGCCCCCGCCTCCGCCTCCCACACACACACCCCTCCAGTCCCAGCAACCACAAATCTTCTCTGTTTCCATGAATTTCTGCCTGGTCGCCTCATGCAATGGACTCGTGCACTCTGTGGCCTTTGTGTTTGGCTTCTTTGACTTTAGCACAGCGTTTTCAAACCTGTCCGTTTCGCAGGTGAGGCGACTGAGGCTTGGGACAATCAAGGCTGCCTGTCCTGAAGGTAGAGTTAAATTCCCTCATCTTCTTCCTCTCCACTTCACTCCTCGAATGGCCAAGGGGGTGGGGACTGCTGTGCCTGACCCCATGGGCAGGGATGGGCCCTCCTCCACGCTGGCTGCTGGTGGAGGCTCTGACCCAGGGCGCCTCGGGGACATAGGACCCTGTGCCCATCCCACCTCCCCTGCCACAGCCTGTGTCCACTGGCCTCCGTGGCCTCCTGGACAAGGACACGTGTCAGGGCAGAACTGCTTAAAGTAGTTTCCCCTCCCAGTGCTGGCAGTGAGGATAGATGGCCAGTCGCTTACTGGTTGCACCCATAACCCTTCCTAAATGGCCACACCACTGGGCTGTGCTGGGGCCATTCATAGAATCACAGGGAAGAACAAAGCAGGATGGGGAAGGGTTGTGTCAGTGTACGAATTGGCTTTGGAGTTAGACTACTAAGTTTTAAACATTGGATATCTCAAAATTCGGGAAGTTAAGAATCAGTTTCTCCACCAGCAAAATGGAACATGCTTATTGTATATGATGCAATGTGGGCTTAAAGGTGATACTGTATCTACAGCAGCTAGGGGGGAAGCCAAACAATAGTTTTATTTCCAGAAAACCTACGTTGGCATTGGCAAGTAAACACGGAGCTTCCTGGCAGCCAAGGGAAAAGGGGAAACATGAGGACACCGAGTTCACCCAAAAGCAGGAAAGCACATCAAGGAGGAAGTGGACTGACATTAAATGCTACAAAGAGATGAGGTGATGCTGTATAAGGGGTGACAAACATCACCACTGGGGACAATCGTTTCTCCTTCTGTGGCAGGTACTGATGTGATCCTCATAGGATGTGAGCCTCAAGTCAGCCATCATAATGCAAAAACACAATGCAGTCAAAGAAATGCACGCTGGGATGTCCCCCTCTGATGTCGGGCCTAGGAAAGGAAGGTATGTGCTCTCCCGTGGGCTGTCCTGCTCCAATACTAAGTGGTTTCCAACAGCCGCCAGATGAAGGAAGGGCTGAAGGGGCATCCTTGGACTTCACGCATGGGCTTCGAGCCCAGGACCTGAGCTGCCTGCCTGCCTGCCCCTTCCCAGGCCTGTCCCCCTTCCTTAGCCTGGGCATCCTTCCTCAGTCCCCGGTGAGAGCCCCCCTTCTTCCCGTCTTTCTTCCCGCTCCTTGGTTGAGGTCCTCTTTGTTCTTCTCTGACACCTGCCCAGTGCAGCCAGGAGGGGGAGCTGGGACATGCCTGCAAATCCCATGGCACAGAGCCTGGCTGTCACACATTCCTGGTCAGTGGTCACACCTGTGCTGGAGTGGAAAGGCCTCCGTGTCTCATAGCCAATGTCAACATGGTCAAGGGGCGTTTTGTAGTCTAGGTCCGTAGTCAGCAAACTGCGGCTCTCGAGCCGTATGCAGCTTTGGCCCCTTGAGTGTGGCTCTTCCACAAAATGCCACGACCTGGGCGAGTCTATTTTGAAGAACTGGCATTAGAAGAAATTTAAGTTTAAAAAATTTGTCTCTCAAAAGAAATGTCAATCGTACTGTTGATATTTGGCTTTGTTGACAATGAGTTTGCCGACCACTGGGCTAGGTGACTAGTTCTCTCGGAACAGCATGGGCTGCAGGGGCTCCGAGGCTCCTGGGGAAGCAGCTTTCTGCTGACCCAGGTGCCCCAGGGACCTGCGCAGGGACACAGCCTGGGGTGCTGCTGGTCCGAGCACCCGGGTTGCCCACCTCCCACCCAGGATTGCCTCGTGCCTCCGGAGGAAGGTTAGGGGTTTGACCTGGGTGTGGGAAGGGTGCGGAGTGGCCACTGAATGCAGGTGGTGAACTTCTCTGTTTGGGCAGGTGAGTTGATTGGGATTTTTTTTGTTAATTGGGAAGAGATTTGTGTAACACAGAATTAACCACTTTAGTGTACCACCCAGTAGCATTAGTACGTTCTCAGCATTGTGTAACCACCACCTGGGTCTAGTTCCAAACATCTCCAGCAGCCAAAGAAGCCGCACGCCATTCACAGTCATGCCCTGCTTCCTCTTCCCCCAGCCCCTGCAACCAAGTCTGTTTCTGTCGGTTTATTTTCTAGACATTTTGTATGAATGGGATCACACACGTGTGGCCATTGTGTCCGGTTCCTTTCACTTAGAATGTTCCCAAGAAGCTTCTGTGCTGCAGTGTGTCAGCTGCCTTCTCTTCCTGGCGGAATAGTCTCCCTGGTGCGGATCGAGCACCGTCTGTTTCTCCTCCTGCAGCTGTCGGCCTGCGGGTTGTTCCCACCTTTTGGCTGTTGGGAACAGTGCCGCCAGGAACACTTGTGCACATTTGCTTTAATGCGTCTTTTCGATTCTCTCAGTTACCGTGCATACAGACATACCCAGGAGCGGACCTGCTGGGTCATATGGTCGTTCTGTCTGTCTGGGGAAGCGGACTGGAATTTTAACGCGCTCACCTGGAGCTGTTTGTCCCCACATGTCCATGTTATGTGGTGCAGGGGTGTGGAAACCTGATTGGAGGCAGATAGCTCTGGGTCTGGATATACCTGCTGTGTGACCTCTGGTGAGTGGCTTGACCTCTCTGTCTCCATGTTCTCACCTGCTGATCATAGGATGGCATAGGCAGCTCTGAGGGAGTCACTGCCTCCCAAGTGCCTGACTCCGATGTGTAAATTAAGTGGGAGCTCTCATACCTTTTAGGGTTGAAATTTGTTCTCTTCAGAGCCTGTTTCCACCCACTCGGAATCGAGGAGGCTCTGAGTTGCTTGTGGGCTGCGATCAGAGAGGTGCTGCCACGTGGGGAGAGCTCGGGCGGCGCTGTGATATGTGGAGGAAGTGGAACATGCCCAGCTGGCAGCGTTCCTCAGCTGCACCCCGAAGAGCCTCAGCCCCCTGGGAATAGTCCTTTTTAAATAGCTGGTCTGACTGGAACAGTCCCAGCTTCTGGGCGAGGTGGGCCGATGCCGCCAGCAGGGTCTAGTGCAGTGGCCTTATCATGAGCCAGGCAGTTCCTCATCTTCAGAGCAGGGGTCTTCTCCCCACTTCGCAGATGAGGAAGAGAGGCTCTGAGGGGCTGGCTGCAAGGAAAGTTGGCTCAGAGATGCACCGCTGGGACCCGAATTAGCATTTCACTCTTCCTACAAGCCCATGTTGTGTTTTGTGTTACTGCTATCACGTGAGCCGTCAGCATCTAACCTTAGGAGGAGGTGGCAGGGGTGGCAGGGTTCCAGGCAGCCAGAGGAGGCAGCGTGGGCAGGGACCTTGCCCAGTGGGATGGCTTTAATCACAGCACGTTTCACAGGCTGGCTGCTCCTGGCTGGGGCAGGAGGTGGGAAGACGTCCATCCCTGGTCCCAACTCCCCAGGGCTCCCACTGGGCCCAGCTCACAGCTACCAGGTTAAGGCCCGTCTCCTTCCTCCTCCTCCCCAGGCCTCTGCTGCTCTCAGTCTCTGTCCCCCGCCTGCCCGCTCTCCATTCTGCCTTCTTTGCGCCTTGAGATTGTGTATGAGTCTTTCCTGATAACCAGGACAGGGAAATGGAAGCAGGGATGTCCGAGAGGTTCCAGAATAGGACTTAGCTGTTATCTCACGTCCAGGGCCTTGGTCTCCTGTCTTGCTGGAAGAGCTGATGGACAGGTGGGCACGATTAACTGTGCCCAGCTCCAGGGAGGTCAGCTCTGGACCTTCCTGATAGGAGCGTCTGTTTACTCGAGGGGCTGGACCCAATGAGCTCCCATCACCCAGCTCCGTGAGCATCCCTGGTTGACAATACTCCGTAAAGCGTCACCCGTGAGAGAGGGAGAAAGCCGCTTTCTATACCTGCCACCGGGAGGACATAGGTGTGGGCTCTGCACCTGCCGCTTCCCGTTGCTGCCATCATCTGTGACCGTGGCCTCGTGGCTTCGATGAGTCCTAGGGAACGGCTGGCACTGGGGATGGTCCGGAGGACCCTGCCTTGGTGCCAGGCACAGCCTTATTTGTTAAAACGGGGTTCATGCCTCTATTTTGCAGATAAGAAAACGGAGGCTCAGGGTGACATGGCTAATGAGGGCCCCGGCCTCCCAGCGGCTTCCCTCCCCCAGCTGTTATCACTGAAAACAAGCGGAAGCACAGCGCGTGACTGTTCCCAACGGGAGTTTATTTTGTGCTTATCCCAGCGGCGGCTGTTGGCCTAGCGTGGCACTGGCTGTGTGGGCACTACTGCCGTGTGCAGACTGGGCACAGGCCTAGGTTGGGCACTACAGGGTGTTGACTCCTACCAGGTAGAGGAATGTAGACCAGGAGCGGAAGAGGCGGAGGGAGGGGTGTGGCCTGCGAGGAGGAGGCCAGGAAAGGCGGGTGCAGTGGGGGGTGAGGGTACCGGGAAAGGGGGTTCGCCTTCACTTCAAACAGTGGGGAAATACATTCTCGTTTGGAAGTATATGGAAAAGACCGCTCATGTACCAAAGTTTCTAGAAAAGAGGGGGCGACCTTTGTAAGAAGAGAGGGAGGGAGCCAGGCTCGTCCGCAGGGCGTTGGGGAGCAGGTCAGTCTCGGCCCACCGTGCACCAGGCAGCTAGTGAAGGGCAGGAGAGAGGGGTAAGCAGAGAAGGCTGTTGAGGACCAGTAGCCCCTCCCCCGGGCCCCATGGGCGCTGCAGTGAAGGGCAGGAGAGCAGCGCCTGCAAGCACATCCCTCCTTCCCTCGGGCCCACGCTGGGCGGCTGGGCTGTGAAGGTGGGGGCCTGCCCTGGACTGGGGGGCCCATGCCAGGGCTCCGGGCCCACCTCCCTAATGACCTCGGCCTCCGGTCTTGCCTGAGGCCCTGTCCTGTGACCTCTCCCGTTGTTCCAAGGTTGTAGGCCAGCCTGTGTCTCTGCCCTGCCCACCTCACCTCTCGGACCCTCTGCACACCGGGCACTGATGCTGAGCACCCGTGTGTGGACTAAAACTCCTGGCAGCTAAGGGGGCGGAATAAAGGGTCATTGGAAGAATTGGGCCTTGCCCTTAACGGCCCTCTGTGGCTGGCAGAGGCTGCTGCTCCTGTGGGCACAGGGGCACCCCCAGTGCTATCCCAGGCCTCCCCCACCTGCCCCCTACCTGGCACCGAGATCCGGGCGAGGGCCTCCGGCTGGCTCAGCGTGTCCACCTTGACGTGCCGGAACGCCTTGCACACGGGGCTCTGCAGGTGCCTGGAACCCACGGGGCCCTGTGAGCCCTGGAGGCTGGGGGCCTAACCACCTGCCGTGGGCTTAGCCTCGGGGGTTAGCCATCATGTGAAGATAAGAAGGCGAGGCCCCAGGAGGGCTGATCTGTGGGGCCGGAGAGAGGGAGGGGCGGGTTTGGGAGGGAGAGGAGCCTGTATCCTGCCTCAGTGAGCATCGTTAATGAGATGGCTTCCCTGGGTTTTTATCCCCGAGGCAGCGCTTTCAAACAGGAGTGGCCGTGGCCTCAGAGCCCAGGGCCAGGGCCCTGCATTCAGAACCCCGCTGAGGGGGTCACAGCCCACACTGAGAAATGCCGCCTCCCACTGGCTCCAGGGCTCAGGAAGCCCGTGCTGGGTGCCGCTGGGACGGGGCTCACATCACCCTCCCCTCCACACTGTCCGGGATAGTGTTAGTGGACCTGTGTGCTCACCTCTTCCACTCCTCCTCCGTCTCCCAGAACTCGTACACCACGAAGGTGAAGCCGTCCGACAGCCTCCCAGCGGCGATGCTGCGAGGGGAGAGAAGGGGCTGGAGGCAGGAAGCCTGGGCTGCCCTCCTCTGGAACTCGGTTCCCTCACCCCTCACCCCCACAGCCTGGCTACGGGATACCCTCAGACCCTGGAAACGAGAGCCTGGCAGTATGCCCCCCGCCCGAGGCCGTGAGCCACGGTGCTCCTGCCTTTCTGATGGGAACTCAGCGCCTGCGGGCCAGCACCTGTCCCACCACCAGAGCAAGGCCTGGCCCCAGGCAGTGGCCAGATCATGTTGGCTGAATGAATTACAATGAGATGTCATTTTAAAGGCTGAATATTCTCTCCTGTCATGCTCTCCTTCATCATCTCCTTCATTTAATCCTTAACCCTGTGCGTCAGAATTGGCCAACTGAGGCTGGGGCAGGCCCAGGTCACTCCTGCGTTATCCCTGTGAGGGCAGCAGCCCCCTCACCTTGATTTACCTAGGACTGGGGTGCTTCCCAGAATGCGGCAGAGCTGGGGGCTTGGAGGGCTGACCGCCCCGCTGGCCTCCCGCCCGCCCTCACCGCTGCTCTTTTCCCACAGTCAGCAGAACCGCCCTCAAGGAGAGCTGTCATGGTGGCGGCTGCTGTGTAATTACAGCCAATCCCAGGTTTGCCACCAGGACAGGCGCGGGGAGGGAAACCAGGCTGCTAACAGTATCATTAGTTCATTAGGCCCCGGCTAAAATTACAGGTGCCCGTGGGCTGGTAATCGGATGAGAGCCAGGGGGCCGGGGACCGTGCCGCCCACTGATCAGAGGTAGCCGTGGCCTTCCGCCAGAGCCAGAAAGCGCTGCTTATGGGCCCGCCTCTGCGACAGATGGAGGTCAGGGGAGCAGCCTGATGCGTCTAAGTCTGTAGCTGCGGCAGAGTGAGGCACTGATTGGGTTTTGGGGGTGGGGTGTCTGAATGGGCAGGAAAACACAGCAGGCTGGCATGGGGGTACAGGAAGGACACAGAGTGTGAAGCCCTACTGTGTGCTGCCTGTGTGCAGAGGAGGGGCAGCTAGGCCCCTCTCCGCTCCACCCCAGCCAGCCCTTGGCCCTTGACACCTCCCTCTACCCATGCTGTGAGCACACACCCCCCTACTGTGGCTTCCGGTGCCATCTGGACGCCCACCACTCCCAGCCCGCCCTCTCCCAGGCTCTCCACACTCCTACGCGGCATCTCGAATTTAATCCGACTCCCCCGTGCCAGCACGCCTGACCTCCCTGCCTCCTCTAGGTCATCACACGACACCAACCTCTCTCGGGTTTCTGAAGCCAGACAATCTCAGAGGCCGCCTCATCTCCGCCCCACACCCCTCCCTGTTCTCCAGAACAGCTCCCAGCTCTACCCAAGGCCATGCCCCTCCCTGGGTGACCGCAGGGCCCCTCCCGGGCCCCTGCTGCATACAGAGGCCAGCCCGTGTCTCTCTCCTGCTTGCACATCTCCAACACGGTCCACTGTACTCCAGACGAGTGCGTCCTGCCCGCCACCCCGGGCCCCGCCCTGCCACCTCGTCCAGACGTACCTGCCTGTTCTCAAACATGGCACCTTGCTGCCTCCCAGGCAGTGGCACCGGCTGGCTCCAGGCCACACTGCCCTTCCTCAGACTCCGCTGTCCGAATGCTCCATACACAGGCCTCAGTGCACACACAGACTCTCCCCTCCCCGAGCCCCTTCCTTCTCTGGAAGGACCCTGCTTCCTGGCCTCCTCACACCCATCACCTCCAGCACCATCCCTCTTCCTCTGCCCTCTCCCGCACCTAGATTACATGCTCAGTAAGAGCAGCGCCTGCTTCACGCTGCACCCCAGCTGGCCCCCCAGGGAGAGGGTGCAGAAGGCAAACTGGACAGGGAGGGTTGGGGCAGAGAATGGCAGAGAGGCCATGGCTACTTCCTGGGCACAGGTGGGTGGGCCTGGGACAGGAGAGGGCCCCGCAACTTGTGCCAACAGCCCTCTGGGACCACCCCCAGGGAGGGTGAGGGCTGTCGTCGTTTGTGGCCCAATCTGATTGGCCATGGCCACCAGATTCAGCTTTGCTGAGAAGCAATGCAGGCCTCAGCGGCAGGGACAGAGGGAGAGACCTTCAGGGGCGGCCACAGAGTAAGAGGAGCCGCTGACGTTACAAAGCTCCAGCTGCTCACCAGGCTCTGGCCTAAGCCCTTCCCATCCCTATTTCCATTTACACCTCCAACAGCCGCAGCGAGTGGGTCCAATGGTCCCATTCTACAGATGAGTAGGCTGAGGCCTGGGAGGGGAAGTCACTCGCCACGTTTGCGCAGTGGGAAGAGCCTCCGCTAGGGTTTGGCCCGCTCTCCTAACAGCCCTGCTAGGCCTTCCCGGGGGTATGGGTTGTCCTCGGAGGTCCCGCCCCGTCCTCCACCCCCCACCCCCGCGTACTCACTGGAAGCAGCTCCTGGCTCCCGCAGTGCCCCGCAGGTACTGCCGCAGCGAGTCCAGGAAGTCCCCGAGCTGCTCAGGGCACACGGCCATCTCCTGCCGGACCAGCTGCAGGTGCTGTGGGGTGCAGGGTGCAGAGTGAGCTTCCTCAGGCTCCCTAACAGCCCTCTCCCTGCAGGACTCCAGCCTCCCCACACCTCCCTCCTGAGGGGACAGGACAGTTGGGTCAAAATAAAACAAAACCCCATGCACACACGCTTTCTATTCTTACACGTGACCACTGGCTGAAAAGGAATAAGAATTCTAAAAAGCCGAATGCAGGAAGCAGACCCACAAATGCCGAAAAGCAGGCAGGGTGTGTCAGGAGGCTCTACGGAGGCGCAGGGCTGCCTGCAAGGATCCAGGGCTGAGACACAACCAACCAGTGACCAGCAACATTCATTCCAATCAAACCAGTGTTTGGATGCACTGTCCTGTTGACCATGCGGTTCCAGGCCAAGCTTTTTTACCAAAGCCCTGGTCTCTCAAATGACACCCATGGAAGGGGAGGGTGACCAAGTGCTGGGCCACATCGCCCCACATGTGCTCCCTGGGGATGGGGTGGCAGGGCCTTTGAGCAGCTTGTGTCCTGAATGCTGGGTTCAGGCAGGGATTGGGCCACAGGAGGGGGAGGGAGGCCTCCGGGGAGGGGGTCCTCACCATGTTAGTGCCTTCTTCATCTGAGAGGCGCTGCTGCAGGTCAAACCAGAGGGTCTGAAACAACAAAGCATAAAGTGATGCTGGAAACAAAGGCCACCTCCATCAGGGAGGCCTCCAGGATCTCCACCACATACCAGAGCACCCAGGGCCACCCACAGAGCTCCAGGCCCTCCACACCAAGGTCCCGGGGGCTCCCTGGGGCCAGGCCTCACTCCGCCCTCCATGCACAGTGCTGGCTCAGAGGGGACCCAGGAGGCCAGGCTGGGGGGCCAACCACAGGAGGTGGGGGAGATCCCTTCTGGCCGTGGCATCTGGGGGCACTGGGAGCCACAGAGACCAAGCAGATCTACTGCAAAAGCCATGGAGACTCCATTTTCCGGCTCAGGGTGGGAGGTGGGAGTGGGAGGTGTCTTGGGGGAGAGAGCAATGGGACTCAAGATTCTGGAATCCAAGATGCCAGGCTTTTGCCATAATTGCTGGCAACAGTCCCGAGATTCCCCATCAATTTACAAATCACCCCCAATCTTAACCCCTGATGCCCCTCGAATGGAATGGTCTAAGTGGGGTGTCTGTTTTCACTGTCCTCCCACAGCCCTGGGCTAAATGCTTTACAAATTCACCAGATTCCCTGCCCCACGGTGAGCTCCAGGAGGGAGAGAAGGAACCCGTGCATGCTGCTTATGGCCGCATGCTAGTGTCCAGCGCAGGGCCCCATGCTCGGGCATGCTCAGTGGTCACTACTTAGCCGAGAGCCCTGGGCCCCAGAGGCCACACACGCTGGCTAGGTGCTGAGCCTGGATTTGAACTTGGGGCCTCTAAACTGACACAGAATCCTGGTTCTCCTCCCTTTAACGTGGGCACCCCAATGAACGCCACCTCTGTCTATCCCTACCCACCTCCCCGGAGGAGAGCCTGCGTCTTTCCTCTCTCAGAGCACGCGTGTGCCCATCGCTGGTGTTTGAGGACGCAGACTGGCAGATGTGGTGGCGTGACCTGTGCAGGTACCGCCTTGAAATTCTTAACTGAACAAGGGGCCCTGCGTGCTCATTTTGCACGAGACCCAGGAAGTTACACCGCCTGTCCTGGAGACTGTGCTGACTTTCCACGCGGTGCACCCCTGCTTAGTGGGCAGCCAAGGTGTCCGCCCGGGGCTAATCTGTTCCCATTGCTTTACAACCTTGCAGGTGGGCTCCTACAGAGCAGGGGCTGTAACGGGCTTGGTGGCTCTCCCAGCTGGCAGGGCCCCAGGAGGAGGAGAGGGGCGGGTAAGGGAGGCTCAGTGGTACCCACATCGGCCCCACCCTCTCCCACACTGGCCGCCCCAGCGCCCCACCCTCCAGGCCCCTGCAGAACCCGGAGCCGCTCTGGTTGGCCCATAGAGGGCGGGGCCCGGAGGCGGCTCTGGATTGGCTCCTACTCGGGACCCTGGCCAATCAGAGGCCGGCGAGCAGGCCCCGCCCCGTCTCCAGGACGCCCAGGTGCTCAGCGGTCTCCAGCCTGCCCCTGCCTGTTGTTAGGGCGACCAGGGCGCTAAAAATAAACTTCAAAGAGCCTCCCTCTCCGGGCGCCCGAGGAGTTGTTATGACAACCGGGCCACTGGGTCCGCGAAATCGCTGGCTCCCACCCAGCAGCTCGCTCTAATGGGGGTAGATCCCACCGAGGCCTCAGCCCTGCGGGTGAGGTTCTGCCCCTTCCCTCCAACTCCCCGCCCCCCACCCCGGCCTCCCTCTGCCCTCTCCTCCCCCCAGGCTTCCTCCTGCCCCCACCGATACTTCAGAACCAACCCCCAAACCCATCAAAGGACTTTTTTTTTTCTTTGCCCTTTTGCAAAAGATGTAAGAAATTCAGAAAAGTCAGAGAAATGTAAAACAGCTGCTACCCAGGGCTCTGAGATAATTGGGTTATGCAGATAGATGGGTGTGGTGTGTACCTCTCTGTAGTTTTAAGCACCAGAACTGAAATGACTAATAATAATCGCTAGCATTGCTGATGTTTCACACTAGCTTCTCAGCAGGCTCCGTGCTAAGGCATTCAAGACATGGTTATCTTGACTCCTCAGGACAGCCCTGTGAGGCTGCTCTTCTGGTTCTCTTCTGTATTGTCAGGGGAGACATCGGAGTCTCAGAGAGGGTAGGCCACTAGCCCAAGGTCACACAGCTGCTAAGCGGTGTGGCCGGGCTTCAAACAGGGCCGTCTGATACCTGAGTCCGTTGGTAAACCTGAAGGCAATCCATGTTCTTTCTTCCAGGGAATGGTCAATGTCATGGGCTGAACCGTGTCTTCCCCAAATGGAAGGACCAATCCCAGCACCTCAGAATGTGACTACGTGTGGAGACGGGGTCAGCACAGAGGCATTTACGTAGAAATGAGGTCATGGGGGGACCCCAATCCAGTGTGACTGGTGTCCTTATGAGAGAAGGAGACGGGGCATCGAGGAACACAGAGGGGACACCCTGTGAGGACACCATGTGTCTTCCAGGGAGAAGACAGCGGTCTGCACGCCAAGGAGAGGCCTCAGCAGAAGGCAGCCCTGCCCCCCACCCCCATCTCGGACTTCTGGCCTTGAGCTGCGAGAGAATAAATGTGTGAGCACAGCCTGTGTATGGACGTGATGGTGGCAGCCCCGGGAAACTGGTGCAGCGCATTGTGAGTGCCCACTGAGTCATGAACTGTCTCTGGCTCTGCAAGGCCAAGTCTTTTCTGTTATCTGCGGACGCACCAGACCGTCTTTGAAAGCTCACCATTCACACTGCTCCTCCCTCCTGGGCCGGCACCTTCCCTCAGGCCCTCACAGCTCCTCGAAGCTCTGTTCCCTCCACCCACGGTGCTGCTGGCCTAGGTCTGCTCCTTGTGATGCTCGCCTTGTGCCCGCCCGCCCCACAACTCCTCCTCCCCCCAGCACCTCTCCCTGAGCTGCCCATTGGGCACAGCTCTGGGGTCTGTCCTCATCTCAGTCTCCGGCTCCATGCTCCACTGGGAGATGCCTTTCCAAGGCTCCCTGACTTCTGCCCTAAACTCCCGGCCTAACCCGGCCCTCCCGGGGCCCGGGGAATGGAGGGAGGGAGGTGGGGGCCAGCGGCCTTACCTTGCTCTCCAGCCGTCCTATCAGCTCTGCCAAGCGGCTGATCTGGGCTTCCAGGCCCTCCTCCTTGGCGTCTGAGGTGACTGAGGAAGAGGAACAGGGACACCGATGTTGGGCAGGGCAGGATGGGGAGGGGAGCTCCCAGGACCCCGACCCCTCCAATGCCCGCCCCCCCCCCCCCCCGTCCAGGCTGCCGCCTGTTCTCACCGGAAGGCAGGCTCCTCTCCCGTTCTGCAGCCATGAGCTTGTGGCTGGGGACGCAGGGGGCAGTGGGGCTCCCATACCAGGTCTGCACCACGCCGGGGCCGGGCTTGCCGTGGTTCTGGCTGCAGAGCGAGCGGGAGAGACACACGGTGAGGGCGGCCGCGGGGCCCGGAGCACTGTGGCCGCTTTGGCAGACACACAGCTGGCCCCATGGAGCCCGGCCCGGGACGTGGGCCTCGTGCCTCTGTGTCAGGAGGAAACGGTGGCCAAGACCACGCAGACCGAGGGACTGACTCGAGACAGGAACTCAGCCCCGTTCTAGGCCTCAGCCCAGGAGGTTCGGTTCCAGGCCCCCACCCCCACCCAGGGGCTCACAGCTCCCCACCCCTGCCTGCTTCACTAGGAGCCATGTGGTGCCGTGTGTGTGTGTGTGTGTGTGTGTGTGTGTGTGAGAGAGAGAGAGAGAGAGAGAGAGAGAGAGAGTTGGGAGGGGGGCGGGGAAGGGGGCTGGGTTTGTACTCTCTGAAAAGGGGAGCCTATGACCTGGTTGAGAGGAGGCATATCACAGAACACAGGTCCCTAGAGAGGGACCTGACCGCCTGTCCCACCCCCACCATGCACACACGTGTCCACACGTGCCCAGCCCCCGCATGCCCTGACAGGCACACTCAGCTCACCAAGCTCTGTGCCTGGCACAACAGCAGGGACTCAACCAATGCTTGGCAAAGGTCGAACACCCATGCACGAAGAGATGCCGGGAAACTCACCACGGGCATACAAACACACACTGACACGCATGTCCACACACAGCACACATACACTCTCTGTGGACGGCCACCACGCGCGTTCCAGCTCTTCGGCCTTGGGCAGCGCTGCCTGGGCGGTCCAGTCTTTGAAGCTGCAAGCTCACCAGCCCCTGCAGACGGCAACCTCCCTCTCCCCCTGCAGTGCCAGAAAGTCTGGTGGAGTCTCTGAGGTCCGATCCTGGGGGCTCTTCAGCCAGCAGCCAATTCAATATGGCTCTCGGACCCTGAACAGGGCGGCGAGAGTCCCTGGGCGGCAGGGTTTGAGCCAGCAGCTTGTGCCGGGAACCTGGCATCCCGGGCCGGAAGCAGGATAGGGCCTTGCAGCCCAGGGGAACTGAACTACTGAGGTTTGGGGCCGGAGGTGGGAGTGTGTGTGGAACAGACGCGTCTCCCCACCACCGACATTCCAGAGTGAGGCCCCGATGGGGGCAGACGAGATGGAACGAGCAGAGTGCAGCGGTCGCATCTGTTCCACAGCAGGACAGAGACGGCAAGTTTGATCAGGAGAGTGACAGAAAGTGAAGGAGCTCTATCAGCGCCCAGAGCTCCGGCTATCTCGGGACCCTCCGAAGCACAAGAGCGATCACAATGCAGAGCCCTGAGCTCAGCTCCCAGGGACCCCACTCCGGTGGGCCCGTCAGCTCCCGGACCTGCCTGTCTCATTTCCCGGGTGACTGGCTGCAGGCGACCCGAGCAGACACACTTCGGGAACCGTATCATCGAGCAGCTTTGCAATCGCACCTGACCGGGACCAGCTCTTCACCAACCAATGGTTAGACACACTCCACCCCCCAAAGCAACCAGCACCCACCACGCCAGGCCTCTGCCCGGAAACCCGCAGCCACACAAAGAAATTCAAGGGTCAGGAATGCTCGGACCAGACACTGGCCCTTGCTCGTGTCCATCTGGCGTGTCTTTATTTCCCGTTTGCCGGGCACATCAGCTGTTCTGGAAAGGACAGGCAAAGAGATGTCTGTCCCAACTCGGGACAGTCAATGCAAGGACTCATGGTCCAGAACTGGCCCTGCCCAGCCAGAAGAACACCCCTTCTCTAGGCTGACCACCTCACAGTGTCCCCAGCAAAGGGGGGACCCCAGAAGCTTGTCCATGGCCTCAAGGACATGCAAACGATACTCCAATAACACCGAGGGACCATCGCTCCATTTCTCTTTCCATCCTCCTGAGAAGGTGACTTGGTGTCACCCCATCCCCATGCCCTGGTCGGTGTCCCAGCCGCTGGCAAAGCGGGAGCCAGCCTCGGGATTCTTATGGCACATTCTCCAATTATGGTAATCAGATACAGTTTCCAAAATTTACCTCCAGTTTTCAAAAGTAAGCCAAGCAATAGAATAGTCTTGGGTAAAGAATAATGTGAGTGGCGTGGGGACGCGGTAAAATGGATGAGAGTCTGAGAAACAGCCGTAATGAATGTATTATATGTAGGTACTGCACGCACACCAGCCGTTTCTCTAAACATACACATCTCGTTCAGTCCTCACAGGCCCTGAGGAGGTGGGTATATCACTGTCCCCACATTACAGTCGTGGACATAGAGGCACAGAGAGGTATAGCAGCTTGTCCTGAGTCACCCAGCTCTCAAGTACCCAAATACCCCCACCCTAAGTCGCAAGTTGGCACATGCACGGCATACCCCTGTGTGACCCTGCAAGGGACCCTGCACACACCGGATCTGGCTGGTCTGCTCTTCAATGGCCTCCACTGCGCTCTCCACGGAGCTCAGCAGTGACTGGATCTGACTGGCCGTCTCCTTCAGGAGGAAGCGGGTCACAAACTGGTCCACGTTGCTTCCTCCCTCGTACACCTGTGCAGGGAAGAGAAGGGACAGCCAGGGTTAAGGGAGGGGGAGGAACGTGGGTGTGGGGTCTGGCCCAATTGGAGGGGTCCCCAGGGTCCGTGTTTTGGCTTACAGTGGGGAGGGAAAGCCCACGCCACCACTGCCTTCTGTGTCTTGGTGGCTATCGAGCTCCTGGATCAAGGCAGGGCATGGACTCAGGCCAACGTTTGAGCTCTGGCTTCACCTCTTACCAGCTCTGTGACCTCAAGAGCCAAACCAGCAGTCACTGTAGCAGCTTTCTTACAAGGTCATGGTGAGGATCAAATGACAACATGTACCTAAAATGCTCAGCACAAGGCCACAGCACGAAGCAAATACTCAATAAACAGGAGCTGCTATGATAAAGATGGCGGTGGTGATGGTGATGTTAGTGAAGATGGTGATATGAGGGTGGTGCTGATGACGGTGAGGGTGATGGTGACAGTGGTGATAGTGATGGTTGTGATAGTGGTGATGATGATGGTTGTGATGATAATGGTGGTGGTTATGGTGGTGATGATGTTGAGGGTGATGGTGACAGTGGTAAAGGTGATGGTTGTGATAATGGTGGTGATGACAATGGTGACGGTGGTTGTGGTGATGTGGTGGTGGTGGTGGTGATCGTGATGATTGTGATAATGGTGGTGGTGACAGTAATGACAGTGGTGATGGTTTTAATGATAATGGTGGTGATTGTGGTGGTTATGATGGTGATGATGGTGAGGGTGATGACAGTGATGAGGGTGATGGTTGTGATGGTGATGATGGTGGTGTGGTGGTGGTGATGGTGACAGTAGTGAGGGTATTGGTTGTGATAATGGTGGTGATGACAATGGTGACAGTGGTTGTGGTGATGTGGTGGTGGTGGTGGTGGTGGTGGTGATTGTGATTGTGATAATGGTGGTGGTGACAGTAATGACAGTGGTGATGGTTTTGATGATAATGGTGGTTATGATGGTGATGATGGTGAGGGTGATGGTTGTGATGGTGACGATAGTGACAGTGATGGTTGTGGTGATATAATGGTGGTGGTGATGGTGACAATGTTGATGAGGGTGACTGTTCTGATAATGGTGGTGGTGATAGTGACAGTGGTGAGGGTGATGGTTGTGATAGTGGTGATGGTGATGGTTGTGATAATGATGGTGGTGATGGTGACAGTGGTGAAAGTGGTGGTTGTGACAATGGTGATGATGACAATGGTGATGGTGGTTGTGGTGATATGGTGGTGGTGGTGGTGGTAGTTATGGTGATAATTGTGATAATGGTGGTGGTGACGGTTGTGACAGTGGTGATGGTTTTGATAATGGTGGTGATGATGGTGGTTATGGTGGTGATTATGTTGAGGGTGATGATGATAGTGATGAGGGTGATGGTTGTGATGGTGATGACGGTGACAGTGGTGGTATGGTGATATGGTGGTGTGGTGCTGGTGACAATGTTGATGAGGGTGACTATTATAATGGTGGTGGTGATAGTGACAGTGGTAAGGGTGATGGTTGTGATCATGGTGGTGGTGACGATGGTGACAATGGTGGTTGTGGTGATGGTTGGTTGTAATGATATGGTGGAGACAGTGGTTGTGGTGATATGATGGTGGTGGTGGTGATGGTGACAGTGGTGGTATGGTGGTATGGTGATATGGTGGTGTGGTGGTGATGGTGACAGTGGTGAGGGTGATGGTTGTGATAATGGTGGTGGTGATGGTGACAGTGGTGAGGGTGATGGTTGTGATAACGGTGGTGGTGGCGATGATGACAATGGTGGTTGTGGTGATGGTTGTAATGATATGGTGGTGATGGTGGTTGTGGTGAATGGTGGTGGTGGTGGTGATGGTGACGATGGTGACAGTGGTGGTTGTGATATAACGGTGGTGGTGATGGTGACAATGTTGATGAGGGTGACTTATGATAATGGTGGTGGTGACAGTGACAGTGGTGAGGGTGATGGTTGTGATAATGGTGGTGGTGATGATGGTGACAATGGTGGTTGTGGTGATATGATAGTGGTGGTAATGGTGATGATGGTGACAGTGGTGGTATGGTGATATGGTGGTATGGCGATGGTGACAATGGTGGTTGTGGTGATGGCTGTAATGATATGGTGGTGACGGTGGTTGTGGTGATATGATGGTGGTGGTGGTGATGGTGACAGTGGTGAGGGTGATGGTTGTGATAATAATGGTGGTGGTGACAGTGGTGTTGTGGTGACATGATGGTGTGTTGATGGTGATTAGTCTATTGTTCCTCATGTTGTTGTTGACAGAGATAAAGCACTAGGGGAGAAGAACTCACACCCTCCTCTCTCCCATCCTTCTCCGAGGACTCTGGGCTCCTGGGCCTGCACACTGCTCATCAGAAATGATAGATGAGGATCAAAAGCACCAGAGAGCTTAAGCTGACTCCCCACAGAGGGTGCCCGAGCCTTGTCTCGGAGGGTGAGAGGGGCGTCTGGGGGAAGCTGAGGGAGGGGGACAGCCTCAAGGAGAGACATCGGGGAGAAGGTGAGTAATGAAGATTCTCTGCAAGTTTCGCTCTGAAATGTGAGACTTTTGTTTAAGAGTCTACAGCTAAGACATTTCTTACGGTTTCTGGAACCAGAAGAGTTTCTTTCGGCTGCTAAGGCTTTGGAGTGGAAGGGAGAGCACTCTGGTTCAGCGGGTCACTCGGGGACGATAACAAGCAAAATGACGCAGTGCTGCGAGGCGCCAGTCCCCAAGCCCCGGCGCTGCCCTCCCGCCGCCTCCGTAGGCCTGACCTTCCAGAGCCACCTGCCCCAGGGAGCCCTGGAGCTCTGCCCGGCCTCCTCTGCACGGCGAGGGAAACAAGGAAGCAAATGAAACCATCCATCACTCTGACGCGGAATTAATTAGCAATAATTGCACCCTGGGAAACGGGGCTAGAGACAGACGAAGACATGGAGGCAGGGAGCAGGGGAAGAGGAATGGGGGGCCGGGAGGCTGAAAGGAGGTGGGGAGGTGGACATCCTGGGCCGACCACCAGACCCGGCACGCCGGAGAGAGGCCCCGACAGAGAACGAATTTGTGGCAGAGAGTACTAGTAGGGGAGCTGTTGGTAGCCTAATGCATTGCAGTGATTGATTATCCTTCCTGGCGGACAAGGGGACTCACAACCTTGTGAGTGATCAATGGGCTCTGGAAAAACGAGCAAGAAGATCCGTGGTAAAAAGTGTAAGCCAAGAGGAAGGCTGCCAGAGTCATCAAACAGGAAAACGAGCTGAAGCGAGTGGGTGAGAAGCACCCAGACCAGGGACTGAGGGTGTGTCTGGTCAGGGACCAGTAAGTGGAATTCCAAAGACAAGGAGAAGAAACGCAGCTCTTACACATTTCTCCTCCACAACGATGTTTCCGCTGAGAGGCCGCTCCATATTCCAGAGGAGAAGGGTCAGGTCTAGGAACTTTTGCATCCCCCATGGACAAATTCCTCATTTGCAGAGTGATGGGGAGCTAATTCGGAAATCTGCGGCTCTATGAAGCCTGCCCAGATGAGCACCTTTCTTACAAAGAATGCTCAGGAATTTCTCCCGAACCATCCAGGTTGCATCAGATAGAATGCAGCAGCAGGGAAGGTGTGAGGTGAAGGTGATCACCCACATGAAGCCGTTAAGTCATAGAAGTCACGAAATAAAAGCAGCAATCACTAATAATTACATTTTAATTACACTGATTAAGTCAACAAAGTGTGAAAGTCTGGAAGAACAACGGGAAATCTCAAAAATTTCCCTAATTCCATAAAAGAGAATAGAAAGTATTGTTGCCGAAACCGGTTTGGCTAAATGGATAGAGCGTCGGCTTGGGGACTGAAAGGTCCCAGGTTCGATTCCGGTCAAGGGCATGTACCTTGGTTGTGGGCATATCCCCAGTAGGGGGTGTGCAAGAGGCAGCTGATCGATGACTCTTTCTTATCGATGTTTCTAACTCTCTATCTCTCTCTCTTCCTCTCTGTACAAAATCAATAAAATATATTTTTAATTTTAAAAAATCTATCATAATAAAAGGATAATATGCTAATTAGACCAGACAGCTAAACAACTTTCCACAGGGACTGAGGCAGAGGTGGTTAGGGGCAATCGGAGGCAGGCGAGCAGTTAGGGGTGATCAGGCAGGCCAAATGGTTAAGAGCAAGTGGTCCTGGACTGCACGAGGGATGTCCAACTGCTGGTTTGAGCCTGATCCACAGGAATCAGACCTAAACCGGCAGTTGGACATCCCCCAAGGGGCTCCAGATTTCGAGAGGATGCAGGCCAGGTTGAAAGACTCTCCCTCCTTCATGCACGAATTCTGTCCACCAGGCTGCTAGTAAATTAAATAATACATCATGAAGACATCACAGCACGCCCTGGCTGGGTGGCTCAGTAGGTTGAAGTATTGTCATCATACACCAGAGGGAGGGTTCAATTCCAGGCCAGGACACACATCTGGGCTGCGGGTTTGATCCCTGGTAGGGGCATCTACGGAAAACTACAGTCAATGTTTCTCTATCTCTCTCTCTCTCAATTAAAAGCATGTCCATGGATGAGGATTAAAAATAAATAAAATAAATCACAACACATTAAAAAAAAACAACAAAAAACAGAACAGGGTGGAAATCTTACCACTCAGTTTTATCCTAACACCATGTATTGAGAATAACATTAAAACCTATGGTTGCAGTGAAAATATCAAAGGTAAATGTTTAAATTCAAACTTTATTATAAAAAGTTTAAGCATTGCAGTTCACATGTAAAAAGAATAGCAACAACAAACCTAAGGAAATGGGAGAAATAAGAAAATGATAAAAACTGAAAATACAGCAGAAAACATCGTGAAATTTAAATAAACGTGTCAGGGCTAGTTATTAAAATGACTCATGAAAATGAGCAAAACTCTGTCAAATGTAAGTTTTCAAAATGTAGCAAAATAGGACAAAAATGGAAACAAGAACTGAGCTTTATCAGACGTTCTATTCAACTTATCCTGCATTAAATGCCTGGTTTGTGTCAATGTTTTAGTTTTGTTTGTTTTTTTAATCCTAAGATACAACACACAATTTCCCATAAAACTGATCATGTCTGAGATAGTTTTATTCAAAACTATACTAAAATGAACATAAAAAGTAAAAAAAGATTGCCCTGGTGTGGTACAGTGGTTAGTCTGCTGGCCCAGGCACCAAAGGGTCATGGGTTCGATTTCCAGTCAAGGGCTGTACCTCAGTTGCAGGCTCGATTCCCAGCCCGGTTGGGGTGCGTGGGAGAGGCAATCAGTCAACGCGTCTAACATCCATGTTTCTCTCTCTTCTCCCCTCCCTCCCTTCCACTCTCTCTAAAAACATCAATGGAAAGAAAACTTAATTAAAACTAGTATTGACCTTAACCTAACTATTAAAACAATCCACTCTCTGTTCAGTACCTGGATCCAAGCCTCATAGACAAATTCTCTTTTCAAATAGAAAAATAATTGTCAGAGAAACTGATTCAAAGCCACCTACAGCTCATTTCCAAACTATCATCGATTCTCGGGTCCCAGGAGAGACAGAGATAAACGCTCAGCTGGTGACAGGATCCAGCCATGTGACAGGAGAATGATGCCTCACTGAGGGTCTGTCAGAGGAAGCTGAGGGCTGTTCCATAGGAGAGCAGCTAATTATAGAATCCACCCATCAATGGCTTCCGAAAACGCATGCCATCGTTTTTAAAAGGCATTTCAGAAAATGCACCACCACCTCCGAAGACAGCACTGAAGGGAGGGAGTTTTTGAGCAGGCCGCAGGGATCCCAGGGTAAGAGCTGGTATTGATATAGTAATTAGTGGCGAAACACTAGGGAGATGCACATGGAAATCAGAAGCAAAACGAGGGTGCCTGACATAGCTCCATTAGGATTTGGGGCAAATGCCAGAGGATGCAGGGAGACACCGAGGAGCACCTCAGAGGCGAAGGGACACTGCTCGCAGCTGATGCTCCCACAGCAGCCACAAAAGCCAGCGAGCCAAATAACCCGAGGGGTGCATCTGCAACAATTAGCTGCATTTCCTCACACATCGGCTAGAAAATGCGCAAGAAAAGGAAATGCCAGTCACCACGGCAACAAACCACTGTCATCACCACCACCACCACCACCACCACCACCACCACCACCACCACACAACACGCCCCAGGACTGCACTGCACAAGGGTGAGTGGTTTCTGAGACTGAAATCTCCAAACTGATCCAGGCCAACGCGAAAATCCTCTCCCGAGTGGAGGCTCAGGTCACATCCCTGGAGTGATGACCAAAGAGAGGAAGCAGCTGTGAATGTGCCCACAGCTCTCGGCAGCACTGCGGAGAGCTGGCCCCTCACGAGGAAGCTGGGCCGGAGGAGGGGGCTGCAGGCAGGAGACCCGTGTGGGCGCAGGCCCACCTCACAGCCTGCGGGGAGCAGGGCTGGGCCGACACCCTCGTCTGGGTGGCTCTTCCCATGCTCCCCATTCCCCACCGCCCGCCCCGATACCTTCAAACAGCACACAGTCTACACGGCAAACAAGGAAAAGGAGTCGCTTCTACATGTTATTAAAAGGCATTTTAAAACACCAAGACTCCGAACAGCATGACTTTGGGGTGTGGGTGGTGGAGGCGGGGGGTTGGGCTTGGCTCTCGGGCTCCGGGAAGAAAGGGGTTGTCTCATGCCCTGCAGAGCAGAGACGGAGCAGCATCTGAAGAACGTACAGAATGGTCTTACCCGTGCCTGGGCATACAACAGGAGCCTAATAATAAAACTGGTCACCTTTGCTCTGTGCCAGGCCCTAGGCTAAGCAATGAGAGACAGTCCTGACTTCATGCAATTCCCATAAAGATCCTACAGAGGGAATGCTCCCATTCCACAGATGGAGAAACTGAGGCTCAGAAAGGAAGTGACGGGCCCTGGGTCCTTCAGGCAGGTCCGGCTGACTCCCTGTCCCCGCCCAGCAGAAGGGCTGGCCTTCTCCGAGGTCCCACGAGCCGCTGCAAAAGCCCTTGGGTGTCGAGGTGTCCCTCAGAGCATGGCCTGCTCCAAGTTCCCTCCCTGCGTGCCTGGTCAGTGTGCCCCAGAGGCCGCCCCTACTCCTGGCTAACACTCCAGTCCCCCCTGGGCAGCCTGAAGCCCCATGCTGTGCTCTGTACCTCCGGACAGATCCCTGACTCAGTTTCCCCTCTCATTTCAGCCAGCAGGCCTGGCTGACCGGCTGCCACTCTGCAGGGTTCACCTTTCTGAGCCTGTTTCCGTAACTATGAGATGAGGGGAGTGAGAGCAGCCATGGGGCTGCTGTGAGGATTGAGCTGAGTGTTTAATCCTGGCCATCGTGAGTCTGTTCTCCGCGAATGCAGAGAAAACACGCCCACCCATGCCCTCCGCCAGCCGCCAGCCAGGGGAGGTACAGACTCAGGCAGGAAATGCCGTTGGGATGGGGTGGGCTGCTGGCCCCATCGGAGCTGCGTGCAGAAGGCGCAGTGACCCCCACCCGCACCTGGCCTGGTCTCCCTTCCCCTGTCCTCCTCCAGGTCACACGCAGACGAGGGGACGGGACCAAAGGCAGAGACTTCGGAGCCACATGGGAGACACCGAGGGGCCTGCACTCACAGGGGTCCCTCTGCCCAGCTCACGGCATCAGGCCTGGGCACGTGTTCTCACACCAGACACCATCCGGTTCCTCCGTCAAGGTCACAGGTGAAGCTGCCCCTCCCCCTCCCCTCTCGTAACCCAGCTGCATGACGCTCACCCACGGCCCGAGGGCTGGGCTGCTGGCCGCTCCCTTCCCAGGACCCCATCGAGGGCCACGGCAATGCTGGGAGAGGCTCTCCCCCTCCAAACCACATAGAGACGCTGGGTGGACAGGGCCGTTCTCAGAACTGCTCTACTCACCCCACAGCCCACCTCAGCTCCCTCCAGGCCAGGGGTCGGCAAACTCATTAGTCAACAGAGCCCAATATCAACAGTACAACGATTGAAATTTCTTTGTAGAGACCCACATTTTTTAAGCTTAAACTTCTTCTAATGCCACTTCTTCAAAATGGACTCGCCCAGGCCGTGGTATTTTGTGGAAGAGCCACACTCAAGGGGCCAAAGAGCCGCATGTGGCTCACGAGCCGCAGTTTGCCAACCACGGCTCTAGGACACCCAAGCAGAGCCCGCCCGGAGCCAGGCCCGCCCAACACGTCATCACAAACCCATGCACCCGTGGGTGTGGATGCCCCAGAGAACATCTGAACCCAGAGCTTGGACCCCCAGGGAGCCCAGGGGCACCCACACCTGCTGACCTTCTTGGTGTAGCCCATGGCCTTCAGGACAGAATGGTTCAAGGTCTCCAGGGAGGCCAGCACGTCCTCATAGTCCCCCATGTGGTCCACAAAGTAATCTGGGGTAGGAGAGAGCGAAGGTCAGGGGTCACAGGAGGATTCTGCCCCTTTCACCAATCTGGCCCCCCTGCCACACCCCCACCCCTGCCCCCGTGCCCCCTATTCTATTTCCCCATTCCCCTCCCTCCACACCTCTTTCCCTGCATTGCCTGACCCGGTACCTACCGCACAGCTCCTTGGTGTCCACGTGGCTGCAGAGAGAGAACAGGGGAAGGGGGACTCAGAAGCCGGCCTGTGGGGTCCCAACCTCCTGCCCTCCCTCCACAGCGTGCCCGGCCCACACCGCTGGCAGAACGCCTGGTGCCTTCTCTCTTCATTCCATGCTCTGGCATCGCGAGCCCCACTTTACAGTTAGGTGTGGGGTGAAGGGGAACCCAAGGAAAGGAGAAGGTGGAATGAAGCTTGGGGAGGGGCAGGGTAAGCAGCATTTGCTCTTGATTCACGGATGGCTTGGGTCAGGAGGGTCAGAGGGATCCTGAGGTGTGGTTGAGGGTTAGGACTGAGTTGATGAAGAGGTTTAATTAGGCAGAGTCAGAAGTGGGATTCAGGTGAAGAAGTAGAGTCACAGGGAGATGAAGCGGAGGAAATATAATCAATAACACTGATAACGATGGATGGTGCAGCCGGATACTGGAAATACTGGGGTGAACACTCTGTAAAGTATCTGATTTTCTAACCACTATGCTGTACACCTGAAACCCATGCAAACTATTATTGAAAGTAAATTGTAATTAAAAGAAAAGGAAGTTAGGTCCTAGCCGGTTTGGCTCAGTGGAGAGCACTGCCCTGCAGAATGAAGGGTCTCAGGTTTGATTACGGTCAAGGGCAGAACCTCAGTTACAGGCTCTACCCTCACTGGGGCACATGCAAGAGGCAACCGATCAATGTGTTTCTCTCACATGGATATTTCTCTCTGTCTTTCTCTCTCTCAAGAAGAAAAACAATGGAAAAATATCCTCTGGTGAAGATTTTAAAAAGAAAGAAAGAAAGAAAGAAAGGAAGGAAGGAAGGAAGGAAGGAAGGAAGGAAGGAAAGAAATAGCCCAGCCAGTTTGGCTCAGTGGATAGAGCATCAGCCTGCGGACTGAAGGGTCCCAAGTTCGATTCTGGCCAAGGGCACATGCCAGGTGTGGGCTTGATCCCCAGTAGGAGGTGTTGGGGGGGCAGCTGATCAATGGTGTTCTCTCTCATCATGTTTCTATCTCTCTCTTCCTCTCCCTTCCTCCCTGAAATCAATAAAAATATATTTTAAAATAATAAAATGAATAGAGTTAGGATGAGCATTTGGTTAGTTTGGTTTCAGATGGGAGCTGGTGAGAACACGATGGCAGAGTTCGTGTTGGGTCGGGCATGGAGCACCAGGTCCGGGCAGAACTGAGCTGAACTAGCCAAAGGGTGACGGAGCCACCAGCTTCCCTTCAGGATCCAGTGTGATTTCTGCGAAGTCTAGGGTCTCTCTCTGCTCAGCCACACGTGCTCAGAAAAGACCAGCTTGCCAATGGGGCCTCTGCCTTCTGGGTTAAGGAGTTTGGGGGCTCAGGGGTGGGTGATGGAGGCTGGCCCTGGGCAGAAGGCAGGCTCCTCCCCCCGCCCCCGGGCGCCAGCTCCAGCTCGGGGACCCCAGCGCGGGGACTGCTCACTTGGTGTTGTCCGAGTCGATGGTGTGGAAGAGACCCTCCAGCTCCGTCTCGTTGAGGACGCCATCTGCAAAGAAGAGCTGGAACTCCTCCAGGGACAACTTCCCGTCGTCTGCAAAGGAGGAAGCAGAGCAGCTGGTGTGCGAGCGACGGGACGTCCCCAAATCCAGAATATTCCCGAACAAACGGACGGACGGAGAAGTCCGGCCAGCGCGCCCTGAATTCGCCAGCGTATGCCAGTTCACGGGGAATTACAGATGCATGCAGCAAATTCTCAAGCCACAGGCCCACACCTAATTAAGGTAATCCTCAATCCCACACACACAAACAGCAGCTCCTCTGCAGGAATTCACCCAACAGCCAGCACCTGCCCGCAGGCAGGCTCCCGGGACCCGCCCCGCTGACCACCTGGGCCGGCCGCGGTTACACCTACCACACCTGCGAGAGGTGGGTCCGAAGGCGGGCCGTCTGAGGGTCTCTCCCTCTCCCGCCCAAACACCCCGATAATCTCCCCTCTTTTAAATGAGCTCCGACACCAGCGCCCACATCCTGATTTGGGGAGAGGAAAGCCCCCTCCCCGCGGTGCCCCATCCACTCCACTCGGCACGTGTCCGGCCCAAACCTGTGAATGGGCTGATGTGTGGCGGCTGCCAACAGTCGGCACGGAGTTCTCCCGGTGCCATAGATGCTGCCTTAACCTAAAGGTGCCAAACCACGAAGAGAGGAGGGGCCTGGCCTGGGCCCAGCGCTGGCCCGCCCGCCCCGGGCCGGGAGCTGTGGCTCTGGGATGTGGAGGGCGAAGGGCATCAGGCTCTGTGAGGGGCGCCACGGCTGAGGCATGCCACCTGCCTGCCCAACCCCCTCCCTCCCCCTCCCCTCTGCTCTCACCTGCAGCCCCCCTGGCACAGCAGCTGGCAGCGGAGGCCTCTGAGGCAGACCTGTGGCTCCAGGAGAGACAGCCCTCACGTTCCCCCGCTGCAGCTCCTCCCACCCCACCCGGGCACACCTGCTCAGAGAAGGCCTGAGAGCTGCTCTCCACCCTGAGCCAGCACCCTCCTCTACAGCCTGCTCCTCTTAAAGGAGCCATGCCTGTGGGCGGCCGTGTCGCCCTGTGCAGACCCCCTCCCATGGCTGCCAGCCAGGCCCAGCAGGACCACCTGGCACCTCTGGGTGGATAGGAAGAGGTGCCCTTTCCTGGTTGGGGGGTGAGGGACTTGCCCAGTGTCAGGGCACATAGTTGCGAACGGATGCAGGCTGGGTCTGAGGTTCTCGATTCCCTTAGGCCCGTGGTCGGCAAACTGCGGCTCTTTGGCCCCTTGAGTGTGGCTCTTCTACAAAACACCATGGCCTGGGCGAGTCTATTTTGAAGAAGTGGCGTTAGAAGAAGTTTAAGTTTAAAAAAAAATGTGGCTCTCAAAAGAAATTTCAATCGTTGTACTGTTGATGTTTGGCTCTGTTGACGAATGAGTTTGCTGACCACTGCTTTAGGCAGCTGCCCTTGTGCAGGGCACAGCTTGCCGACCTGAGTCTAGAACGAGGTTGTTCTTACATTTTAAAGGCGCCGGAGCTCCCGTCTCTGCTCCCTGCAGCTCTGTGTGGGCTCAATGCGGGGCTAAAGGACAAGCTGGGGGAGGGAGACCCTCACATCTGTCCTCACTTCCCTCCCCATCATCGTGCGTGCGTGTGTGTGTGTGTGTGTGTGTGTAGGGGGGGTGAGTAAAGATACTAGTGTGAGCTGTGCGAGCGCTGGTGCCTGGGTGCTGGGGGGAGGGCAAGGTCCCGGATGCCTGTCCGGACTCAGGTTTCAGTGTCAAAGCGGAAGGACGAATTTGTAACTTTCAAAACGTAGGAGTCCACCCAACACTCCCACTCAGAAGGCCCAGCAACCAACTACGTGCGATGCCCGCTGTGAAATGAACTCTCCGCTGCGGGTCCTCGTCCTCTGGGCCAGAGGAGACGTCCCGAGTTCTGTTTGGCAGATCGGTGATGCAGCCAGGAACCACGGCGCACCATCAGGGCAGACACAGGGGACTAGTGCTGCGTAGTCACTCATCCAGGCCCCACTACTCCCCCATTTCGCAGAGCCATACACCGAGGCACAGAGCGGTTCAGGGACTTGCCCAGGCCCCACAGCTGGATCTCGAACCCAGGCCATCTGGCTCCTGAGGCCACGCTCCCACCCAACGTGGGGCAGGGTCTGTGGCAAGAGCTCCAGCCACGGGGCGACGTGGAAAGGCCGAGGCCCAGCCGGACTCGGCGGAAGGGAGCCGGGATGGACTCGTCCTGTCTGCCGTGGGCACGGCCGGGGTCTTCCTGCCCTCACACCCTCCTGCCTGCCAGGTGCCCTGTTGTCTGCACTCAGGAGAGCGGCAGGGCGGGCCCGGCCTCCTGAGCACAGTCTCCCAGCTGACATTTACCTCAGCGCCCCCCACAGCCCTAACGAACCAGATGAGCTAACGAGGGAGGCAACCACTCCCCCCAGTACCCACCCCCCCACATCCCCAATTAGACCAGCGGGCCTGGCACCTCCACCCAGAGGGCCGTTTGCAGGTGTCTCTCCCAATTAGCATGAGCTCAGCCTCCCTCACAGTGACCTTTCAAATGCCAGGAGTCTGCATCCCTGCAGAGACGGGCAGCCCGGCGGGTTCCGCCCCTCGGAGCCCTGCCCGCCTCCATCTCTGTGACATTTCTGTCCTCAGAGCCAGACAGCACTCAGGCTGCTCCTGTAATCCTGTGGCCCATCCCTTCCAGCCTCAGCCTCAGCCCCAGCCCCGGCCCCAGGCCACACTCCACCTTCGCCCCCCACATCTTACTCCGCTGGGTGCCAGGGAGGGCCCGCGTGAGCCTCTGTGTGTCCCTGGCCTACACCCACCCCCACCCAAGTGCACACCGTCCCTGCCCACACAGGGATGTTCAAACTGTGCTGGGGGGAGTCCGAACCCATCTGCCCCTCCCCCCACCTGAGGCCCTGCAGCCTGTCCCCTGCCCTGGCCAGGCCCGCGCTGTCAGCTGCAGTAAGGGGTACGCTGCCGCCTATGCCGGCACAGCAGAGCGAAGACCACGGGAGAAGGCCCGGGAAAGCCTCCGTGCCCCACGCTCAATGGCGCCGCAGCCTGTGCAGCAAACCCAGGCCCAAGGAGGGAACCCAACCCCTGTGGGCAGACCGAGGCCCCTCGCGGCAGCCCTCTGCGCTGGGGGCTGCCCCGTCACCCCCACTTACAGGTGGGGAAACTGAGGCCAGAGAGTGTGGGGTGGGAAGTGGCCGAGCCAGGACTTGAACCCAGGCAGTCCCTGTGACAGGGCAGGGCCCCGCCCCCTCCCACAGGCTCCGCCTCCCACACACCTTTACCCTGGTGACACCTAACCCTGGTGACACCGCACGGCCATGGCTGGGAAGACTCGAGGCGGCAGAGGAGCAGCAGGCTGGCCTGGGTGGGGCCCGCAGGAGAGGAGCTGAGAGGCCCCCGTTGTGCTCAGGGCGGGCCCACGGCCTCTGATTGGGAACGTGTAACAGCGAGGAAAGCCCCGCCGTGCCTGAGACCAGGGTGCCACCCACCACGCACGCACGCACGCACGCACGCACGCACGCACACCCACATCCACTTGGAGACCACAGCCAGTCCCTGCTGCATCCCAGGGCCACACGGTCACACTCGCATTACTAAACCCATCACCTAAATCTGCAGGCACTTACCACGCACCTACTGCGTGCAGGGCGCCAGGCCCACGGCAGGGACAAGCCTCTCACCCCCTCTCTAATCTCTGACAGCTCAGGCCGTGATGCCACCACCATTTCCTGAGCCCCCTGAAGCCCCGCCCCCATCTCTTTCCTTTCTCCTGGCTCCATGTGCAATTGCTCTGATGGTCCCACCCAGGGATGGGGATCCAGGGGTGGAGACCCTGGGCATTGGCTTCCAGCCAGGCCTGCTCACCCCCTCTCCCCACCAAGACCTCATGTTCCATCCCCCACACCAAGGGGGGCAGGTCAACTCCCAGGGGCAGGGAGAAAGGGGGCGCTGGGACCCAGGCTAGAGCTGTGGCCTCGAACCCCAGCCTACGAAGGGGCGGGGCTGGGCCTGATGCTCGGGGCCCTGAGGGGCAGGCACCATCTGTTCCCACTTTGATCCTCAATCAGCTTGTTTTCAATAAGTGAGCAAACACGGAGCACTGCTTACCTTTCCCTAAAAAGCCCCATCCCCACACCTCCCTGTGTGTTCCCACCAGCCTGGGCAAGTAGACAGGTGAGGTGTTATCACCCCACTTTACAGATGGGGAAACTGAGGCCCGGAGAGGGAACTGCCTTGGTTGAGGCCATGCAGAGTGGCAATGGGCCGGAGAAGGAGGACTGCAGCATTTAAGGAAGTTACCCACTCTTGGCCATCCCTGCGAGGCTCGGGCCCTGGGGAGCGTGGTTATGCTGGCGCAGACGGGAGCCTACCCAGCAGTCAGAGGGGAGGGAGCGCCAGGCGTCCTACGGCAAAGCGATGTGCTGCTCTCACGTCTGGGAGGCTGTGTGATGTGGGGGAAGGGCTGGGGTCTGCAGCAGAGCGCCCGCCTCCGCGCAGCTGGGCTACCCCGGGCAAGTCACGTAACCTCTCTGAGCCACGGCAGCGCGGCTAGAACAGGCAGTGCCCCCTGCACCAGGCCGCGGGAGGAGGACGTGGGCCAGGGCCTGGGAAGGGCCCACAGTGAGGCTGGGGGCTTCCTTCCAGCCCTGCTGCGTACGGGTTAAAGCGCCAAGCATTTCCCATGGGCGAGACACCCTGGCGTCACAGACATCAATTCCCAGGGTCCGCATGGCACCCCCGCTGTGTGGGCACCACGGGAGTCCCGTGGTACAGAGGGGAAACTGAGGCACAGAGCAGCACCGGGACTTGGCCTTCAGATTTCAGAGACCTGCTGGCCCCTTAACCTTTAGGTCCACTCCCTACCCCTGGCCCTTTCCCTCGAGGCGTCAGGGCAGAAAGAGCCAGATCCTCACTCAGGGGCCAGCGTGGGAGGGACACTCACCGTTTTTGTCCGCGCGGCGGAAAATCTGCAGGGAAGAGAGACGGGTGGAGTCAGCCCCGGGCAGAGAGCAGGAGCCCCCAGATGCCCCCTCCTCCCCAGGAGGCCTGGGAGACTGAGCCCCCACCTCCTCCCTCCCCAGGGAGGGGACCCGGCCGGCTGGGATCCAGGGTGGGAGAGGCGGGGATGCTACAGGCAGAGCCCTCCCCGCCGCCCGGGCGGAAGCAGCCGCCCACTCTCCCTTCTGTGCCGCCAGCCGGCCCGCAGCCACGCCGACAGACACATGCACACGCGTGTGGACGCTCTGGCTCACACTGTCCACATGCCTGGGGGTGCACCCCCAGCGCCATCGGTCCATGGGGCTTGGCCCACGGTCGCACCCTGAGTGGCACTCCCTGAATTTGTGTCCCGTGGCCACTGCCACAGGCCTCGCTTCCTCGCAGCGCTCCTGAGCAGAGCTGTCTGCTAAAGGGCCCTCCAGGCTTGGCCACTGACCAGCCAGAGGCAGGAGGGGACGTTTGGGCGGGTAGAAGCAGGTTGACAGGAGCTCAGAAAACCAGTTGCCACATCAGGTAGGAAAGAGGAGGGGCCTGCCCACGCCCCCACCCCCACCCCCACTCCTACCCCCACCCCCAGCCTGAGCCTAAAGACCAGGTAACTCCTCCTGGTATTTCGGGGCAGGTACCCCTGCTGATAGGAGGAGAAGGTGGAGGACCGTCACCTTGCCCACCCACCTCTGGGATAAAGGACAGAGACTCCCCTGCAAGCAATGGGGGGTATCCGTTCTCCCCCCTGAGGCCGGGCCACACTGAAGCAGCGGCTCAGGAGGGCTCCTCGGACATCAGCCCCTTCCTTAGCTGAACCCCGGTGCCAGGGTCCTGGCAGGAGCCCCTGAGGCTGGGCAGGAAGGGAGTCCTCTCTGGCCCCCTCCCAGGGGGCTCACACTCCTGCTCCGAGGCTGGGTCCCACCCTCAGGTGCCTGAGTGTTAGTGAAAGGCATGACCACTGCTGTGGCTCCAGTCTGCAGGAGCACGGACCCTCCCCCATCAGCTCATCACCCCAGCTCCCAGAGGACACGGGGCTCAGAGCCCGCCGGCAGCACTGTGGGACCCTGGAGGCCGCCCCTGGGCTGTTGGAGGAGAGAATGGGAGGGGCGGCACAGGGCTTCCAGCTGTCAGCTCTGCTGGGGTCTGGAGAGAAGGTCCAGGGTGTGGGGGCTGTGCATGTGGGAGTGTTTGGGGCAACAGGACCCCAAGCCCTCCCAGCAAAGCTCCACCTTCCTGCCCTGCCCAGCCCTCTCTGCCCAGAGCCAGCTGTGGGTTCCAGGAGAGAGAAAATCCACTCGTGCTCACGTGTGCAAGTGCAAGCACTCTCTCTCTCTCTCTCCCCCAGAACATCCGCCCGCCCTGCTGGGACATGCACCCCTCACTGTCTCTGGGGGTATGGGGTGGGCAGGAAGCCTCTCCACTGCCTCTGGACACCCCACCTCTGGGCACCCCACCTCCCCATCCCTGCCACCCACCCTACAGAATCTCCCTCCCATTGGGGAGTGGGGGGTGGGGGAGGCTTCCCGCAGGAAGGCAGCTTGGGTTCCGGAGAGGAGGGGGGAGGGGAAGATCAGGGAGGGGGGCGGAATGGGCAGAGGGCATTCAGAGTGGCATGGGGGTGGTGATGGAGCTCAGAAGGGTCCAGACTCAGGGCTCCTGGGGGTGGTCCCAACTCTCTGGAAAGGAGAAGCAAAGCCAGAGGTGGGGAGTGGGCTGTGCTTGCACAGAGCGGGTGCGGGGCGAAAGGGGCTCAGGGGCTAGCGAGGAAGAGAACGGTGGTCTCAGGAAAGTGGCAGCTCAGGCAGGGAGGGACCCAGATGGAGAGCGGGGGCGGCCGGGGGCTCCCGTCCTGGGAAGGAACGGGGTGAAGGATGGTGTGCAGGGCTGGGAAAAGATGGGGATTTGGCCAAGACCAAGTAGGGGGATGGTGGCCAGGTCGAGGGGGGCTCCAGGATCCGGGCTCGGGGAAGAAGGGAATCCCTAGAAGCTGAGGGAGGGGATGTAAGGAGGGGGGTGCGTCCAGGTCGAGGGACCAGACTGGACCGGGATGGAGACGGATGGGAATGTGGAGGGGCTGGGGGGCTCATGCTCTGGGGCGCAGAAAGGCCGGTACCTGCTCCGCGCTGCCGGCCGAGGGGGATGGGCTGGGGGGGTTCCCTGTTCAAGGAAGAAGGGGAGCCCCCCGCCGCGGGTCCCGGTTGCGCCGAAGGAGGGCGGTGTTGGGGGTCTCCCCACAGAAAGATGGGGCTGGGGGTCCCGGCCCGCGCGCGTACTCACGTCCAGGATGACAGCGGTGCCCCCACGCAGCGAGGCGGGGCCCGGGCAGGGGCCGGGGTCCGCGGCGGGGTCCACAGCGAGGGCGTCGGGGGCGTCGGGGACCAGCGGCACCCGGGGCTCCCCCATCCTGGCGCCCACCCAGCGCAGCAGCCCGCCCAGCGCCCGGCCCTGCGGCGGCGGCTCCCGGAGCAGCCTGTGCGCGCCGGCCCTGCACAGGCGCGCCGCCCGCTCGCACATCGCGCCGCGCCCGCCGCGCCCGCCGCCGCCCGGAAGCCCGCCGACCCCCGCCTCCCGCCGGCCCGCCCCCGCGACCCCCTCCCCGGCGCCGCCGCCGCCGCCGCCGCCCTTTTGCCTCTGGCCCCGCGGCCGCGGCCAGCGCCGGGACGGGCCGGCGCCGGGGGACCGGGCGGGGACGGCCGTGCGCTCCGCCCGGACCCCGAGCCACGTGCCCTGTGTCCACCCCCCACCCCCGGCGGCCGGCGCGGCGGCACAGGACTGCCCGCGGGATCGCCGATCTGGGGGCTGAGTCCCGGCCGGGCCGGGGTGGGGGCTGCCCAGTGGTCGCGGGGTGGGGGTGGGGGGTCTGGGTTCGGGGGGGAAAGTCCTCGTCCCCCCCCCCCCCCCCAATCTCCCGCTGCACCTCCTCCCATGTCCCCCTACTCGCCCCTCTGGGCGCCGCCGCAGGGGCCGGAGGGTGGTGTCCGACGAGACCCGAGCGCCCTCTGCTGGCTGCAGCTCCCAGGCTCGGTGCCCACTCCCTGGGCTTCCACCACCACTTCTGGGGCACCCCTCCCTCCCTCCCTCCCGGGGGCATGAGGCTCCCTCAGACCTCCCCTCCCAGAACCAGTCTTTCCCCCAGAACACCCTCCTCCCCTCATGTTCCAAAGCCACGTTCTAGGCCTTGGGTCCCAATGATGGGCAAAAGGGATGGGAGTCGTCGGCCTCCTGGAGCTTACAGAGGACTGGTCCGACAGACAGACGCTGGGCAGATTCCACAAATAAATGAACCATTAAAACGGAACTGCTGTGAAGTGGTGGAACCTTGGGCCAGGAGCTGGTAATTTCCCTGATGCCCACGGAGAGTTTGTATCAGAATGTGATTCTCATGCTGAGAGAGTGGAAAGAAGAGGGAGGATTAAAGGAGGGGAAAGTGGGCTGGAGACCTGCTGTGCAAAGGCCCTGTGGCCCGTGGTGAGCACGAGGGACTGACGGAGGGGCAGCAATGTGGTGTACCCCCTTCCTCACACCCCCTCCCGCCCCTCTCTAACACACGGCCCTCACATCCGCCACACGTGGGGCGCCAGCCCTCGTGTCCCAACCCCCAGCACCAGGGCCTTCCCCCCATTGCTTCCCCCAGCTTAGAATGGGCTCCTGGGCAGCAGGCTCTCCCCCAGGCACAGGCTCTCAGACACTGAGTAGAGGCAGGTGCTGGTTTTATTTGGGACCGGATTTTGGAAGGAGCGAGTCTGCAGTACTCCTGGCTCAGCGCTCAGCTGGCCCCGATGGTCCCCGTTCACACTGGCACCTTTCACCCCAAGTTGCAGGTCTGGGCCGCAGTTCCCCCCCTCTGGGCTCTGGTCTGGGTCCGTGGCCGGGGTTCCCCACTCTTCATCCGAGGAGCCTGTGGCACGGGCCCATGGCTACTCCTGTCTCCTGCTGGGAGAGGCCCCTCCCTCAGGGCCTGTGTGTCCAGCGGGGCTGTGGTGATGTCCCCTCCTCCTTAGGGCCTGCGTGTGAGGACGCCAGGCGGAGTGCTAAGGCGGCTTCAGGCCGAGCGCTAAGGCGGCTTCCCGGCCTCCTTCCTCAGCAGGGAGCTGGCCACGGCCAGGGCCCCGCCCTGCACAAACCGCACGAAGTTGTCCCCGGCCAGCGGCCCCAGGGCGTACAGGCCCTCCTGCTGCGTGCTCTGGTAGGTGAAGGGCTCCACGTCGATGGGGTTTCTCTTGGCGCTCAGGGGCTGGTCGGGGTCCACGGCGAGGTGGGCGCCCGCCCCGGGGAGGAAGGAGAGGTCGGGGTGGGAGCCGATGAGCACCAGCACCAGGGAGAGGCCGAAGACCTTCTGCAGGCCCTGCGGGTCCTGGAACAGCGCCTGGCGGTGCTCCGTGAACAGCAGCAGCCGGTGCTCGGGGAGGCTGCGGTAGCCCTCGTAGGGGCTGGGCGACAGGATGGACTGCTCCCGCATCATCTGGTGCACCTTGTGGTACTCGGGGTACAGCATCTTGGGCAGCTGGTTGAACACCAGGCCCGGGTCGTCCACGGGCCGGCGGAAGGCGTGGGTCACGGGGATGTTGTAGTGGCGGGCGTACAGCACCGCGTCGGCCGCCGACAGCCCCGCGCCGATGATGAGGACGGGGTCCGAGTCCGGGGTCACCGTGCCGGCCCTGATGGCCGCCTCCAGCGCCGACAGCTCGTGGTGGACAAAGGGCAGGGTCTCCCCGGGCACGCCCAGCCGGGCCGGGCTGTCCGACGTGCCGGTGGCCAGGACCACGTTGTGGGCGCACAGGGAGAAGGGCTGCTGGCTCTGGTCCTCGGCGGTCAAGAAGCCCCTCACCTGGAAGAGGGGGCCGGGGTCTCGGGCCCCGGAGCCACTGGGCTCGGGGACCCCCCACTCCACAGCCGTGACCACGGCGCCGGACACGAAGCTTTGGCCCAGGCCCTTCTTGTTCACGTAGTCCCGGTAGTAGTGAGCGATGTCCCCCGCGGTGGCCCGGCTGTTACGGAGACCTCTGCGGGGAAGGACACGGGAGGGTGAGTGACCGAGAGGGGACTGGGGTCCGGGCTCGGTCAGGTGGGACAGGGCTGGCATCAGGCCCTGGAGCCGACTACCAGCCTTAAGGCTTGGCCAAGTGGCTCAGTCTCTCTGGAGCCTCAGTCTCCTCTGCTGTAAAATGGGGCTAACAGAGCATCTTATTAGGGTGGGGCTGAGTGTGGCCTCTCGAGGAAGGTGGCCTGGGTCTGTCCCCTGACCCTGCCACTGGGGAGCTACCTCCTCAAACTCTCTGCCTCAGTTTCCTCATTGCAAAATGAGGGCGACCATGGCGACAGCACCTATTTCGTGCCATTGCTGAGACGGTTACACGATGATGCAAACGTAGGGCTTAGAAGAGAACCTGACAGGCAGCAAGAGCCATATGAGGGCCGGCCACTATTCATCCCTCTAAGGACTAAGTAATACCAGACACACGTGTGGTAGGTTCCACTTTTATAAAGTTCAGGAACAGCAAAAGCTAATCTGTGGAGTTACAGGTCAACACAGTGGTTACCTGTGGGGGGTGGGGGGTGGGGGGGTGGGGGGTATTGGGAGGGGTCTGAGGGGGTTCTGGGAAGATGGGACCTATTTCTTGAGTACGGGTGGCTGAATGCAGGTGTGACCACTGAGAAATTCCATCCTCCTGTACACATGTGTCCACATGTGGGTTGTGGACGTTTCTATACATGTATATATTTCAGTAAACAAGTTGACTTAAAAAGTAACCCATGTAAAGCACTTGGCATAGTCCCCAGCGGGGCCTATTGATTATTGTCACCATCACCACCATCATCACTGCCACCACCTCCTCTGGGGTGATGGCCACAGGCCAGTGTGGCTGGTGTTGAGCTGTGGCTCCTCTCAGCTCCTCCCTGCTTCTCCCTGTGAGCCCTCAGGGGAGTCACTTCCCCCACCTGTGGACTTACTGTGAGAGATGAACTCACTCAGAGGAGTCCTGAGTGACAGCCAACACATCTCCCGGGGCCACTCCAGCAACCCACCTCAGTCCGCTACTAAACTGGGACTCTGGGGTTTGTTCCTGGCTCTCTTACTCCCTTCCTCTGGGTTAAAGCCCTGTCCTAAGGCGACGTGACTCCGGTGTTACTTATAGAACGGGCACATGCGAAGGAGTGAAAGCCCCATGACCGGTCAGTAGCTTAGGAATGGGGCAGCCCTGAGGGCAGGGAGGCATGTGCCTGCTTTTTTGGCTCAGCCGTCTAAGCACGAGGCCCTGCACGTAAGAACAGTCCATGGAGCCGCTTCCACTCCCTGGGAAACATTATGTGGCCACGGAAAAGGGTGGCTGCGCGTACTGTGGTGGCCACATGAGACGCTATCACGTGATGTTAAATTTTGAAAGTGGGCTATGAAAGGCCCTGCCTACAAGTGAAGTCTGAGTTCCTGTCTGTTAAGACATCACTGTGTGTTAGGTGTTTTCCTACCAGATGGATAGATCCTGGCAGGCTGGGTGCCTGCTGGGCGGGAGTGCGTGTGCCCTGTCACAGCCCCTGATGGGGGAGGAGAGCGGGCGGCCGCCACACAGCGGGATCCTCTGCCTGGACCGCTGGGCAGCGCTAGGCCTCAGGCCCCGGGATGAGCCGGGGCGGGAAAGCATTTACTCAGGGATTTAGCTTTCTCCAGGGCGGTCAGAGGTGTGCAGTCTGGGCTTTGGGAGAGGAAACAAGATGGGAGGAAAATACGCCGAGATGTGGCAGCAATGGATACAGGTGTGGGGTTGGGCGACTTGTCATTCCTTTCTCAGTTTTCTCTGTGGTTGTGCTTCTAATGCAAGAGCATGAAAAAAAAAAAATGGTAATCTATATATATAAAAGCTTAAGCAACCGATAGACCAAACAACTGGCCAACCAGTTGCTATATTGCTCACTGACCACTGGGGGCAGACGCTCAACACAGGAGCTGCCACCTCGTGATCAGTGCACTCCCACAGCTAACCTCCTGCAGTCCCACCCCCATCCCCTCATCCCCCGCCGGCCCACCCCAAATGGCCCCGATTGCCAGCCAGGCTGAGGGACCCCACTGGTGCATGAATTGCCAGCCAGGCTGAGGGACCCCCCGGTGCATAAATAAAGGAGTGCATCCTTTTAGGGGACCTAGAGGGAAGGAGACTGTTCCAGGCCAGGCTCAATATTGTGGGAGGGGCCACAGGGAGGCCTGAGGACTGGGGAGGGTGGGGCAGGGTGTGGGGGCAGTGGAGGCTGTCTCCTTGAAGACTGGGATGCTATAGGAAGGCCAAGTCAGGGGGTCATGGGAGAGAGGAGGGAGCACTGGACAAGGAGTCCTGGGGTGAGCCCAGTGCTGCCTGTGTGGTCCGGCACAGATCCCTTCCCACCGGAGCCTCGGTCTCCTCACCCAGACCCCCGGAGTAAGAGGAAGGGAGACTAGATGATCCTTGGAGCCCCTTTACCTCAGGCTCCTGGGCTAATGTGGGGGGCGGGCCTGGGTCTCCCTGCCCACCCGGGCTCCCCGGGCTGCCTCACCTGCGCTTCCTGCGCATCCAGTCCTTGACCTCCAGGTCCGGGAGCCCCATCCACTGGCCTTGGCTCAGGGTCACCATGGAGCCTTCAATGGACTGTGTGGAAAAGGGTCCTTAGGTTCAGACCTCTGCCAGCCCCCAACCCACTTGGGGTGGAGGACATGGGGCCTGAGCTGATGGAGAGAGGGAAGTGAGAGAGGAGGAGGAGAAGGAGGAAACTAGTAGGAAAGCTGGGAAATGGAACAGTCCTAACCCTGACTCAGGGAGGGAGTCTCCCCAAGACTTGGTGTAGATTCGGCCCGAACCGCCTTGCCCCCCTCCGGGTGGGTCCACTTACGTGCCAGGCTCCCCCAGGCAGGTTCCGGCCCAGGACCACGTGGGGGATGGCCCGCTCCTTCTGGAGCTTCCAGGTGAGGACGGACTCCGTGTCCCCCCCGAAGTCTGTGTCTGGGCGCAGGAGGGCATCAAAGAGCAGGGCCACGGGGCTCTGGCACCGGCCCTCGAGGCCTTCAGACAGGTAGTCCAGGTCCTGGGAGGGAGGGCACGGTCAGGGCCACCGGGGGAAGGCCCGGGTTCTGCACTCCCGCCCTCGTGTCAGGGCGGCCGGGGGAGCTGGGGGACGCTGCCTCTCAGTGGTACGTTACGGGGCCTACGAGCCCCGCAGCTGCCCTCTGCCTGTCTAACTTGGCCGAATCCGGTGTCTCTCAGATGTGCTTGAGTAGGAACATTGTCTCTGCATGTTATGCTGAGGAACTAGTGTCCTGTTTTGAGAAAGAGTCTTGAAAAACGCTGGTCTAGACCAAGCGTCGGCTTACTTCCTCATCCACCAGCTCGAGGGTGGCAGGTGGGTGGCTGGTGACCTGGAGAATGGGTGCTGCCTGAAAGGGGTGGTGGGTGGTAATGTGTGGCCTCCGCGAAGGCAAGGAGCCAGAAGGGGATCTGTCAGCCCTGCTGGGCAGGAGGCAGGAGGCAGAACGGGGAGACCTGGGGCGGGCTTCTCAGCCCCACACGCCTGGCCTGGGGCTGGGTCAGGCTTTATCGTGGGCGCTGCTCTGTGGCTGTGGGAAGTCTCACGGCATCCCGGCCTCCGGCCCCTAAGCCGGGAGAAGCATCCCTCCAGGGCGACCACTGACATTGTCTACGGGTATTGCCAAGCGTCCCCTGGGGCGCAAAATCGCCCTCAGTTTAGGACCAGTGGTGTGGGGGCGGTGAGACAAGCTGGTGCGGCATTTGTAGGTCTCGAAGGATATTCCTGGTTTCTCTTTCAGTTTCCATGACTCATCTTGTGGCCTCTCACATTCCAGGTTTGGGCTTGTGTCTAACAAATGCATACTTTGGTGTCTGCCCTGGGAAAGCTGGGGTGTGCCCCTCCCCCCCTCCCGCCGGAGCCCCGGCCCACCTGGTCCAGGATGGAGACCCCCGGCGCCTCGGAGAGCTTCCTCTGCAGCAAGGGGTGCGGGTGGACGGCATCGGGCTTCACGTAGGGGGTGTAGCCGGAGAGCAGGTAGGACAAGCAGATGCCGGAGGGACCATTGCCTGGGGAGAGAGGAGGGATGGAAGGTCACTGCTGCCCAAGGCTTCCCTCTTGATCTGACTTGTTCACTGAATTACTCTTCATTCATAAAAATAAAACATTTATTAAGCCCTCATCATGTGCCAGGCGCCGCGCACACTGACTCTCAGTAACAAAGTAGTAACAACTGTTGAGAGCCTACAGGTACCAACAACAGTGCTGTCAGGAGCAGTACTATTGTACATAAGCAACAATGAAGGTGTAATAGCCGCTGACATTTATTCAGTGCTTACTGTGTGCCAAGCTCTGTGTTAAGGGGTTTTAATAATAAAATAATAATAAACTGACAGATGCTGCTGCTGTACCAAGGCCCTGAAGTGCCTGCATTATCCCGCTGAGCTCTCCCAGTGGCTTTGGCGAGGAACATGCTACTCTTTTCCTCCTTTTATGCTGAAGGAAGCTGGGGCACGGAGATGTTAATTAACTTGCCTGTGGCCACACAGCACCACCACTCAGAGTCTGCGATAACTAAGAACTAGTCCTGTCTGTCTGTCTGTCAGATGACAAGTGAGATAGTATAGTACAGACTGCTGTGTGCTCAGGGATTGGGAGGTGGGGGGGGGGGGGAGCTAAACCACAGTGGGCCTCCCGCCCCCAAGTCTGAATGAATCTCACAGTTTATCTGTGGAATTTCTTGGGCAATTACATCAAGACATGGCTTCTATTCTTATCTCCTGTTTTCTTTATCTTGCTCTATTCAGAATAGTACGCAGATGGAGAACACTATGAAAGGACCGCTTGGAATTGCTGATGTTTAACTGCTTTGACTTACAAAAATGAACACATTTCATGTGGTTCAACCTGACGTTTGCATGGCAGAGGGGCCGTCTGTCCTCCATTTTTGCAGACCTGAGGACAGGACTACATGCTTGGGCTGTGCGCCACCTCACTCAGCACCCAGCCTGGCGCCAGGTATGGGAGAGCGCAGACGGAGATCCCCGCCCCCGCCCCACGCTGCCCTTGCCTTGCAGGGTCCTAGCAGGGTTGCATGGATGAAATGTAAGCACAGCCCAGCCGGGATGGCTCAGCCGTTGAGCGTCGACCTGTGAACCAGGAGATCGTGGTTCAGTTCCCCGTCAGGGCGTAGGCGTGGTTTATGGGCTCAGTCCCCAGTGTGGGGCATGCGGGAGGCAGCTGATCAGTGATTCACTCTCATCATTGATGTTTCTCTCTCTCCCTTTCCCTCTTCCTTTCCCTTCCTCTCTGAAATCAATAAAGATATATATATATATATATATATATATATATATATATATATATATATAAACTGTAAGCATAGCACTGGGCACAGAGTGAATGCTCAGTGGCCAATTTTAAAGACAACAATAAGTGAATAAACAAACAAACAAACAAATAAATAAATAAAGGCCAGGTCTGGCCCTGCCTGGCCGCTGACCACTGATACTGGAGGCACCTGGAGAGCTCAGGGCAGCCCCTCCCCTGTCAGGGCAGCACTCACCGATAATGATGACCTTGAGGGGCTCAGAGCTGCTGGCTCCCAGGTGGTCCTTCTTCCAGTTGCTCATGGCCGCGTCTGACAGGGGGCTTGGCGCTGGCAGCTGACCTGGAGCCACAGGGAAGGAGGGGCCATTGGGTGCGGGTTGGGTGTCCTGTGGTCCCTTCCCACCTGTAGTATATATAGGGTGTCCTCCTGTGGCCCTCAGGGTCGGGTTCAAAGTCCTCCCAGGGGATATAAACATTCCAGTCTCTCTCCCTTTGGGCTCCCTCACACCTGCTCCATTCCAGCCAGGCCCTTTCCCCTCCCCCAATTCTTCAGGGTCACCTCTGCCTCTCTGAGCCTCAGTCCGCTCTTCCCACCTCACCAAAGGGGCAGCAACCATTCCCGAAGCCTGTTATTCACCTGCCATGAGGCCCCCTCTGCCCAGCCTGGAGGGCCGGCCCGCACAGCGCTTCCGTGCCGGCCATAGCGCCAGCCTGCCATCCAGCTGCAGGGCTTGGGTGTAGGCTGCTGGACTTTGGAGCCATTACGTGGCCCTAGCAAGGCACTTCCTCGCTGGTGACCACGGCCCGTTTTTGGACTTCCCTGGATCTGTTTGCTCATCTATAACGTGGGCTGTTGGGGACACAGTGAGGTCATGTCCTGCTTGCAGAAAATCTGCCACTAGGGAAAGACCTGAGCTCATTGCCTGCCTTAGGGGCTGTGCCTGGAGGTGGGGGACTTTGGAAGCCTAGAGTAATTTGGTTTGGGGAAAATGCCTTAAACCTGAACCTTTCTGGAGCATCAGCGCCCCCTGCTGGCCACGGACCAAAATCAGGCAATGGGACCCAAACCCAGTTCTTAAGGCTGAAGGTGCTGGAGAGTCCAGACCCACTTCACACCCCCAGCCCCTCTAACAGGCCCCGCCTTCCCGAGGCCACAGAGCAATACCAGGTGAATGTGTGAGGAACGGGTGGGCGTTTAGCACTTGCTATTTACTGAGTTTTTTTTAACAGACTTTTTCTCAAGTCCTCCTCCTGACTGGATGCAGAAAGTACTGTCAAGGCTACCGTCCCGTGTAACAGACGTGTAAACAAGGGCGTAGAGAGGCCGCACAAGCTTTTCAGTGTCTTGCAGCAGCGTGTTAAACCAGGGCCAACTGGTGCCCAGGCTTCGCCTGTGACTAAGCCTGGCCCCAGGTATGACCCAGAGCTCCTTGCCCCAGCTGGGGCCTCAGACCGGGGACAGCCACGCTCTCCTGTCGGGGAGAGCCTCCTGGCCCCAGCATCTCCCTGGGGAGACAAAAGGTAGCACCCAGCTCACAGTGGGGTGCAAGTCTCCATGCCTGGTTCCCTGGGTGCCTGAGGAGAGGATTTGGGGTGCATCACTGCCACTCATAAGAACAACAGGCTACCATTTCTGTACGTCTATGGAGTGGCTTGGTGCCAAGTGTGCTCTAAACACTGTCCATTAATTAATTTAATCCTTATTTAACTGGCTTTTATAAGTGCTCTTACAATCACTCCCATATTACAGACGGGGAAACTGAAGCCAGCAAGCTTCTCACAGCCTGTACCATGGGAGGAGGTCTGCTCTGGCTCGCACGGGCGCCGCTGGATGGGGGCCAGGCCACCTCTTTGCAGAGCGCAGTGTGACTGGGTGTGGCAGCTCCTGCCAGAGGCCCTTCCTGCTGCCCTACTGCCCTGGCCCCGCGCTGGTGAAGGGAGGGAGCGGGAGCCGCATTCCCAGCTGGACGGCAGGTTTCTCAGTTCCCTCCCGGCCTGGAGAAATGCAGCTCCCAGAGCTCCTCCCCTCACTCTCCTGGCACCGCTCTGGGTCTTCACTGTCACCAGGAGAACAGCAAAATGGGCACCGGCGTCGTCCTTGCTCAATGCTCCCTGTGCGTTAGCTCCTCCAATCCGCACAGTAACCGCTATGCAGACGAGCAAATGGAGGCTTGGGGAGGTGAGGCTGTGCCCCTGTGGTCCCAGAGCCTGCGGGTGATGGAGCTAGAGTTTGATCCCCAAGGGCTGAGACCACCTGGACACCCTGTGCCCCCCCAGATGAGTATGAGAGCCTGCTCCGAGCCCCCTGGCACGCCCACGCAGGCCACCCCTCCCCTCCTTTGTCTCTGAATCCTCCCAGCACCAGTGAGGAGCTGACAACCCCTTCCACCCTTCACAGAGGCGCACCCCCCCTCCCCCCCTTAGCACCAGGGCTTTCAGGGCTTTGGATTCCAACTCTAGTGCTCACGCCCAGAAGCTTCTGGATGTCATGCACATGAGGTCACCGCCCAGGGCCAACCGGAGGGGTCATTTCCTGTGCGGCGATACGGCGTCCCAGAGACCTGAGCAGCCTCGAGTTCCCACAGCCTCAGAGGAAGGCACGCCGCCAACGCACAGCAGTGCATCTGCGAGCTTTCCTGTTTCCATTCTCTTCACGCTTCCCAGCTTGGGAGCCAGGCAGGCCGGGTTTAACGTTAACTTTTTGTGTCAGTCCCTCTGGCTGAAGAGGGCAGGTGTCATCTAAAAACAGTTAACACTGCCCTGGTCGGGTTGGCTCAGTGCATAGAGTGTCCGCCTGCGGACCAAAGGGTCCCGGGTTCGATTCTGGTCAAGGGCTCGTGCCCGGTTGTAGGCTCCTGGGCCCTGGTCAGGGCTCATGCAGGAGGCAACCAACGGATGTGTTGCTCTCATATCGATGTTTCTCTCTGTCTTTCCCTCTCTCTTCCACACTCCCTAAAAACCAATGGGAAAATACCCTCAGGTGAGGAGTAACAAAAAATAAATAAGTGAAGATTTAAAAAGTTAACATTAAAAAACGAATTCAGCCGAAACCGGTTTGGCTCAGAGGATAGAGTATCAGTTGCGGAATGAAAGGTCCCAGGTTCGATTCCGGTCAAGGGCATGTACCTTGGTTGCGGGCATATCCCCAGTAGGGGGTGTGCAGGAGGCAGCTGATCGATGATTCTCTATTATCAATGTTTCTAACTCTCTATCCTTCTCTCTTCCTCTCTGTAAAATATCAATAAAAAATATATTAAAAAAAAAAAAACACTGAAAAACAAAACAAAAAAAATGGATTCAAAGTCACCAGCGCAGATAAGCATAAGCAAAACGGAAATCATGCACGTCCAAAGAGCGTGGACAGCACGTCTGCAGCTCTGGTCCTTCCGAGGTCAGTCACTGACCTCAAGCTGCTCCGAGGCCTGGGACACCGCGTGGCTGCGTGGGTTGAGCGCCTCTGCTGGCCTGGAGCTCCCGACACTTGGGCCCCACAGCAGCTGCCCCAGGTGGGTTTTCCTAACCAGAGGGAGGCTCGGAGGTCCGGAGGAGGCAGGTGGCTTGCCTAGGTCGCCCAGGGATGTCTGAGACCAGGCCCACACGCACAGATCCAGCCTCTGGTACCTGTCAGAGCCGCCAAGGAGGCGACATGAGCTGCGGCCGGGGAGGATGAAGAGGCGCCCTGTCGCTGAGCCTCCCCCACCTGGAGCCCCGAGAGCTCCGAGGTCCCCAGACTTCCTGATCTCAGCACCTCGCTCGTCCTCCCTGAGAAGCCAGGGCCCTGGAACCCGGGGCCGGGCTCAGGCACCTGGGCTGGGGTGGGTGGGACGGGTGCTGCCCCACTTGAACGGGAGAGGCGGGACCCCAGGGGCAGCAGCACCCAGTCTGGCTTCAAAACCCAGTGGCCTGGAGACACTGGGCAGCGTGCCTGGAGTTGGCCACACCCCTCTCTCCGCTGCCAACAGCAGCATCACATGGGCAGGCTGAGCTCCGACTGCGGGCAGCAGGGCAGTTGTCCTGCTGAGCCTGCCAGGCACCTGGAGGTGGGCATGGCCAGAAGGAGGAACCTGGCCGTGGGGGGAGAAGCATGCCGGCTGGGAAGCCAGGGTGGGCTTTCCTCTCAGGACCCCCTGGGAGCGCCCCTGCCTGGCTGCAGGGCCCTCTGGCCACCCTGCCAGGACTTGCTACCACGTCCCGTCCCCGTGCCTTGCCCAGCGCACTCACCTGACCTACGGGGGACGAGGGAGGCTGCGGGGCCGGTCTGGTCGGACACTATGAGAGCCCGCGAGGGAAGACGCTCATTACCCTTTAGGGATCCAAGAGACTGTGAAAGGCCGGGGCAAGCCAGGGTATTTCAAGAGGCGGGCGGTGGGCGGGGCCAGGAAAATCACTTTCATAAGCGTGAGTCAGCAGGGGCCCCTGGATGAATGAACTTGGCAGTCGTCCTGCCTGCCCCGGGGCCAGTCTTAAAGGGGTCCCCCCGAGGGAAAGTCTGTGTGGCAGAGGGACATGGGGTGACCAGGCTGCCCCTCACCCCACGCCATCCCGAGGGCTCAGTGAGTGAACGGAGGAGCCAGGGACTTGCTGAATGAGCCAGCCTGGCCTTTCCCTGAGGGAGGAGGAGACAGAGCTGCCCAAAGCAGAGGCTGCACCTTTAAGTGGAGAAAGACTTCCCTTCCTTCACCCGCCCTGGCTCCATGGTGTCTCCACTCTGTCCCTCAACCCCTAAAAACACCCTCTGGCACCAAGCTGCCACTTCCTGGCTAAGCTGCCTCAGTTTCCTCATCTGAAAAATGGGGTCAAGTAACAGAGCGTTCCACTTGGGGTGGGGGTGGCATTTCAAGCGCCTCATCCTGGGTGACCCTGCCTGAAACACGAAGCCTGCTCCCTGGCTCTTACTGTTTTCCTTAGCGCGTAGCAGTGCACACCTCCCGTTCTGCTGATTCTCATTTTATTGTCTCGCTCCCCAAACCAGGATGTGGTTCTGTGTGGGCAGGAAGTGTAACTGTCTGCTTTTATCTCATGTCGCCAAGAGTGCTCAGCACACAGTAGGTGCTCCAGAAGGAAGGAAGGAAGGGATGGAGTTGGGACGGGATTTGGCCTGTGGACTTCAGGGTGCCGATGGGCTGTTATTTTCTTGTCTGTGTGATTGGCCCCCGTGTGACTCTCATCACGGGACTTCCCTGCCAGCCCTGCCAGGGCTCGGTGTGGTGGCAAGTGGGGCACTAACTGGCATGTGAAACTTAAGGGGGTGCCCAAAGCACTGAGAGATCAAGAAAATGTCTTAATGCAATTAAAAAAAAAAAGTCAAAAATTAATGCAAAAAATCTCGGGTAAACGAAATGCTAAAGTCTCAAAGGAAGACAGGGGCTGCGCGGGGCTGTGTGAGCCGCAGGGAAGCCTGGTGCGCAGAATCGGAACATGGCTGCTGTCTCTGTTTTGAACTTTGCCGTGTCGCTCACCCTGGAGTTGGCATTGCTTTTTATTAAAAATACTGCATGAACGCACTGTGTGCCTCGATGGTTGGGGTGCCGTGTGCCCCTTGCGGTCTGTGCCAGAGGTGATCTCTCTCCCTGTCCTGGCAGGGTGGTGTCAGGGCACTAGGTCTGCCTGCAGGGCTCTTTCAGGGGTAGAGGGCGGGGCACCTCAGAGAATGTGAGACCTGCTGGGACCTGCAGAGAGGGAGGAGGGAGGGAGAGAGGGAAAAAGGGAGAGGAAGAACGGGAGAGAGGGGGAGAGAGAGAGAGAGAGAGAAAGAGAGAGAGAGAGAGAGAGAGAGAGAGAGAGAGAGAGAGAGAGAGAGAGAGGTGGAGTGTAGGCGCAGTTGGGTTCATGGCCAAGGGTCCCGGGGCGGGGGAGATGAGTAGGGAGGTGGGCAGCACAGGCCAGCCCTGCCCTAGGCCCCTCTTCTGTCTGCTGGTCCCCTGGCTGCTCCTGGGAAGATGCCTGTGTCAGGACTCACCCTCAGAAGGGCCCAGCACGTGGTTTAATGCTCTGTTGTCATCACCTTAAAAACATTAAGAATTTTTGAACAAGCAATCCCACATTTTCATTTTGCTCTGGGCCCCACAAATTACATGACTGGTCCAGTCTGGGCAGCAGTGACCCCTGGGGTCATGTAGCATGTAGAGTGGGATAGAGGGAAACCCACTGCTCCCGGCCTCAGCGCTGCTGCAGGTGTGCTGTGTGACCTTGGGCTGGTGCTCTACCTCTGGGTCTCTGTTCCAACCATGGCCTTGTTACCAGCGCTCTTGGACACTCTGAACCCGCACCCAACACACGGACCAGGGTTAGTGGGGGTCTGACCACATAGAGAGCCTGTGAGGGCCAGGAGTGCAGTTCTGGGTCTGACCACATGGGGAGCCCGTGAGGGCCAGGAGTGCAGCCTGGGGACCTACCTCTTGCACAGTCTGCATCTTTCCCCAGCAGCCAGGTCGCTGGTTTCACTTCCCCATCCCAGAGCTCCGGTTTGCAACTTCCCAGTGCTTTCGATGTGTAAACTGAGGCAAAGAGAGAGATCCCAGGTCAGAGACTCCCATCCGAGGGCGAGGCTGAGGCTTGGGGAAGCCTGGGGATGGAGGTTTAGAAGGGAACCAGGAAGGAGGGGGGCTCCTGGGACCCTCATCTCCGAGGTCTGGCTGGTATTTCCTCTCTGACCTGCCCACCACCTCCACTGGCCCTGACCCATTTCCTGGATTTTGAACATTTGCTGATATGGAGAACCACGGGCGAGATGTGGACTTTCTTCCCTGACACGGGTTTACTGGCCGGGAGATTATCAGAAATAGAAGGTGTTGAACTGCTTCCAGGAAATCTCAACTAAGACAAAGACAGATGGTGTCACAGGCAGACGAAGGGTGATGGTTAAAGAGGGGGGCACAGAGC